TCCAGCATCTCTGTTACTATACTCATATTGAGTCTAATCTCACTCAGGAGAATATCCACTATCACTACATGACTGAAAAACATGCTTCCACTAATACAAAAAAACAGACAAACAAAGCAGCAGAGACAACAATGACTTTTTACACTCAATATTATGTAAGAGTAGTGTATGTTTCTGCATGTAAACACATTATATTTGCCTTTGTTCATGCATTATGTTCACACCGCAGTCTGATTACTTAATATTTGAAACCCAGACAGATACTCATACATCTCTGTGTTTGTTCCCATACAGCTGCGGCAGGCTCATTACATTTGTGCTGTAGGGTGGAGGGAAGTGTATCTAATATTCATGGCTGTGAGGCCATTAGTAGCTGGTGTGACTACAGAGGAATGCTTAGTGCAAATACATTATCTTTATTCCAAAATATAAGACAAACAGAAATATATGTGTCTATAAGGCTTTTATAGGAGTGAGTTGGGGAAATCAATTTAATTACCAGAATTTCTACACTGGATATTCTGGTCTGTTCATTTTTAAGGTGAGAAAATTTTTCATGTTACTCTAATCAGAATGTAGAGAAATACAAGGTGGAACATAACAAGAAAGCAGGAAATAATCACAGCTTAAGAAACCAAATATCACATAGATGATTAAAATTAAATAAGCCAGTGGATGTCTTGTATTGTATAGTCACTCAGCAGTGCTCTGAGATCTCTTTGTCAACATTTGGAAGTGTAAGCTTGTCAAATAATGTGGTGAAATTACAGTCCAGAATAAAAATTCATAATAATTTCATTTCAGATCACTTTTCCAGGTGCACTTCACCCTCCCTATCTTAACTAAAGTAAAACACTTTATAAGGTTCAATATTAGAAAACATAAAAACAGGTCTTGTTTTTATTCTCACTAAAGTTTGAATTCAGCTTAAAAATTTTCAAGCCAAAATGTCAGTTTCCCAACCTATCCATTTTCTGATTTTCTTAAACTTTACATGAGAGTAAATGAAATATGCTTGCATTTTGAAGAGTTTGTTGGATATAACAAGCTATTTCGATTGCATTATGTTGCAACATGTAGCACATTGTGATCACTATTTCCTTACATTTTATAGCTGAAAAAACAATTAATTGAGAAAATGATCTGACGATTAATTGATAGTGAAAATAATCATTAGTTGGATCCCCAGCAAGAAATGTATTTAATGACACACTATTTTGTCAGCAGCTTCAGGTTTATACAGCTCACACAAGGGAACCAAGATAATAGGAAAGGAGGAGGCAGAAAAGGAGCGTCACTTATTTTCTTCTTAGGTTTCACAACATGCTCAGAATAACGCCTGAACATTATTCATCTCTATTTAATCATGACAGCACCACAAGTAATCCAGAAGTTCCTAACCATGTTAACTAAGGCCAAACTGAGCTAATAAAGTCCTTTGTCTGCAGGCCATCACAGATGATGCTCCTCTATGGGCAGATAAACCCCCTGACTAAAGGAAAGGAAGAAACACACACTCAGTTATTCCTCAGCAGCGGATCTAAATTGACTATGATGAGAATGAGTGCTGAGTAGACAGCTAATATTTCATGACAGTGCAGTTAAAAAGAGCTGTGAGTAGACATGCTGTAATAGGGCCTTGGGTGGTGACATAGTGGGAGAAAGTCTGTGTGTGTGTGTGTGTGTGTGTGTGTGTGTATTTGGCTATTTACGAGGCCAAGGAGAGAAACATTTCTATAATCAAAGCTTTGGTTTAGTTTTTATACCATGAATAGGTTTAGGTGTAGGTTAGAGTTACTCAGAGTTGATCAATAATTTGCGCTTAGTTTATGCTGTGGAAGAGGAAATGCAGAAGTGTATGCACCAGACTGTCATCACTTGAAAAAATGACTAACTGGCATGCCGACACATTATTGGGAAATTCTTACGAACTTTTAGTGCTCTGGTTTTGAGGAGTGCTGAGCCAGTATTGATCTATTGCCGGGAACAGTCTCACATCAACATTTACATATTTTATGGTCATTTACCAACTTCTGATGCTCTGTTCTCCTCACCATGTTCCACAACACAAAAACACTAACAGTATCCAAATTGTAGTATGTGCACTAAAAGGACAGAAGAAAGGAGGAGGAGCTGTTTAGAAATTCAAATTCAAATTTCCTGATAATGTTTGTCTACCACAGTATAAAGCTAAACAGGAAGCAGGTTCTGCAGTGGAGTAATGCAGTTGCATAGTACTCAATATTACTACCGATACAGACCACAGACTGTGTATATAAACACATTGGCAGCTAATATGTGCGGACTGGAGTGAAGGAATGTTGATGGGGAGACAGTTATTGGCACACTGATTTAATGAAGTCATGACTTGGCATTAGGTTTAATATTAAACTTGGGTTTTTCAGAGTCAGGCATTTGCAAAGAAAGTTTAGCTTTTCTGTTTGTATGTCGTGTTTGCGCATCTATTAGAAATTACTTCTTATGCTTGATGTACAGACAGATTGATATAATACTGTACATGTCGTGAAACACCAAAGTGGAGAAGAAAGGCTTCACTTTAATGCTTTTCATCATAGTCTACCAGATGGGAGCTGCTTCTCAGAGAGTTTAGCAGATTTGGCCTCATGCTTGGAGATGAGAGCACAAGATCCGCATATTGATCACTACAAAAGCCCACCACAAAACCCAGAGGACAACCAAGGAGTTCAGATACACAGCTTGCCACAGTCTGCTTACAGGTGCATTTCTTTTTATGCCTCCGCACCAGTGATAGTCATATGTGCAGCATTAAGGCATCATGTTTTGGGGTTGTCTGTTCATCCATGTGTGTGTCCATACATGTGGTACATTCTCGTGAACGCATATCTCACAAACGCCTTGAAGGAATTTCTTCAAAAGCACGTGTCCATTTGGACTCAAGAATGAACTGATTGGATTTTGGTGCTCACAGATCAAAGGTCACAGTCAACTCAAGTCCATCCCATTCCCCTGAATTTGACTGGTTGGCAGAGGCACAGAACCACAAAGCTGTAATTCTAGTAATGTTACTGAAATGATCAAACATAATTGGATAAGGTTGAGCGTTTTTCACAACAGGGAAAGTGATACATTAGATTTACAGAAAACCCCAACAAACAGCAGCTACGTATGTCAGCAACTCAAGACGTCTTGATGTCTTTATGCCTCTGCACCAGCAGCAGCCACGGTCAGAGGCATTATGTTTTCAGGTTGTCTGTCCGCCCGTCATTATGTCCATACTGCCCATTCTGGTGAACACAATTTTTCGGAAATGCCTTCAAGGAATTCCTTCAAATTTTGCTCAAGTGTCCACTTGGAGTCGGTGATGAACTGATTCAATTTTGGTGGTCAAAGGTCACTGTGACCTCACGTTCATCCCATTCTTGTATTGTCCTACAGTCAATTTATATCTTAACAACAGAGCCTGAATGAAAGATAATTTTGTATAATTCATCATATATTCATAAATGATCTAATTCATATTAGGCCGTGATAAGATGCTTGGACATTTAATCTCAAAATCTGCCCACAACATTCAACACTATTTAGACTGGAAATCTGAAGTTTTACTTCAGACAATATTCTTAATGAAAAATTTTAAAACATATTCTGAAATACAGCAGCTGTGCAATTATGACTTGGCAGCAAAAAGTTAGCCTGCTGCTCAGAGTTAGGAGAGTGCTGCCACCTAGCGTTTAACAGACCTAACAGCAGAGGAGATGGTCTGCTCCTGTAACTATTGGTATTTAATAGCAAAATTAGTTTTTAAAAAATTTCGGGACTTCATATAAAATGTAGAGAATGTCTATATGTAGCCCAGAAAATATGATAAAATTCCATTTAGGTAGTGACTGTTATTAACACATCACAGTTAACAATATTCATTTAAATTACAACTTCATTATAAAGCTTCTAATAATATAACAACTTGTTTAGTGTTTAGTATTTTATAAACTGTACATGTTTAGTATATTTGTTACTGCTACTACTAAGCATGATGACTCCAAAAAGAGTTTGATTAGCCTCTTGCTGCAGGGATTTACTGCAGGGCTGTAGCTCTCAGGGCATGTGCCAGCGAGCTGGCTGATGTTCTCACCACCATCTTCAACCTCTCCCTCAGCCAGAGCATCGTTCCCACCTGCTTTAAGACCACAACCATTGTCCCCCTTCCCAAGAAGAGCCCGGTCACCTGTCTGAACGACTACAGGCCAGTGGCACTCACCCCAATCATTATGAAGTGTTTTGAGAAAGTGATGCTAGCCCACATCCACAGCAGTATACCGGACCCCCTGGACCCCCTGCAGTATGCCTACCGGCCCAATAGAGCCACCTCCTACGCTACTGTGGCTGCCCTCCACTATTCCCTTTCTCACCTGGAAAATGGAGACTCCCACATCAGGATACTCTTCATTGACTACAGCTCCACCTTCAACATAGTTATCCCCCACAAACTCACCCACAAACTGTCCACAGTAGGTCTGCACCCCACTCTCTGTGTCTGGCTCCTGTACTGTACGAACAGTACTTCAGATTAGAAGTCGTTATATTAGCTTTACCTTTACCAGCTGCAACATTAAATGTGATGAGCAAAATAATGCATCAGTACTTATAATCCATTAATATATAGATGTGAAATGCCCCATTCCGCATAATGAGTAGTTTTACTTTTGCTCTCTCAAGCATATTTGATGGTTTTGTACATTTACATAGGTAACAATTTAAATGCCGTACTAGTAAAAGAATTTTTAACACTGCTGTAGTGGTATTTTTTGCCTTCCTTCCTCCAACCCTGGCTATAGGGACGCTGGCCCGCCACCAGCTACATAATCATGACCCCCTCCAAACCGTGCGCGCTTCTTTGAAGATGGCGCCGTTTTCTCCGCAGAGCCGCGTCGTTGACGTTCTCCGCGCCCGGGCCACGTGACGGGACGAAGCGGCCTCTGCTCTCCTCTCCTCCTCGCTCGGGTTTTCCTTCCCAGGGTTCAATGAGCGCTGTGTGGCCCCACCCCGTCTCTCTTCAGCGCTATCTATCTCCTCAATGTAGGAGAAAATAAAAACCTCAAAGAATCGGATATTCGTGTCTTTCAGCTTTCACGACCAGCGGCCACGAGAGGAGCGGCCTTCGCGGTTGGAATGTGCTGCTACAACAACCTCGTGTCCTATTTTTTGTCAGTGTAAATGCTTGTAGTCTCAAGCCTATTTACTCACCTCGGATTCAAGAGGAATATACATACATATACATGTGTGGATGTTTATATGAGGGTGTGTATGTGTGTACACATCTACAGGCCGTATGTAGGCTATAAAAACTGAGCCTGACAGCGGGTGTTGCTTTTTCACCTGCAGCAGACGTGGATACATTTCGAGGGATTTTCACATCTTGATCACGTTTTCTTTTTCTTTTCGATTTTTACATTTTATTATTATTATTTTTAATTTTTCTTTTTGTTTCTTTGAAGGTATTCATCGGAGCCGAGCAGGGAATTAAAAAAAAAGTCTGTCGGTGCGCAGTTTTGGAGGCTCGGTGGTGATGTGAGGGGCTGATAACTCATTTCAGCAACAAAAGCCAGGGGCAGCGAGAGAGAGAAGGCCCTTGGAGGAGCAAGCACAGCCATCGTAATTAAGGGGGCCAAATCGGTGGATATTGGGTCGTTTCAGAGTTGGAAGTGGTGGGTGATCCAGCCCAAAAGACGACCGCAGCGAGTCTGTAGCTGTTTGGCGTTGATTTGATGAAGAGAATGAGAAGGAGCCGGATGACGACGGAAGCAATGAGAATACCACACATGTAGCTCGTTTAGGTGTCAATATTGTTTTTTTCCCCCTCCTGGTCTGCTGGGCCCCCGACGAAGACAACCGTCGTGGAGACAACGTAATAGAGAATTTAAGGGTACACCTCTGGAAATGTTTATCATGACAGGAGACGTGGAAACGAGCCGCGCCACAGCACGGTCGAGCTTTTCGGACACGCTGAGTTCGGCTCCTTGTCACGGGCAGCAGTGAGACGCAAGACCCGGGCTTTTGGAGATGCAGATTAGGCAGTTTATTCTACCTCCGTTTGAGGTGAAACCCCGGTTTTTTGGTGTCCTAACAGACGTGGTGGATTACAGTTCTTAACGTTACACAGTTGACCGAGGAGAGAGTGGGAAAACAAAACAAAAACTATACTGCATGTGAAGGAGGAAAAGGCGAGCTGAGAAGACGGCCTCGGTGTCGTCAGCAGCAGTATCCTGCCCTTTCTCTGACAGCGAAATACGCGTTATGGACACATAATTTCTTCAGTGCTGCGCCACGGACAGCTTTTGGAGCAGGCCAAGGGCGTTAAACGGTGTCAATGTGGTTGACATTGCTGCCAGATCTGCTGGTCAAACAAGAGATCTAGACTAGTTTAGTTGTTTATTTTTGTTTCTGCATACCCCTCTCCACCTCCACTTTTTCTTGTTCTTCTTCCACCTCCTCCACCTCCTCCTCCACCTCCCTTGGACCCCCTTTTTCCTTTTTTCTTACGAGAAGATGGGTTGTTTGGGCAACAGTAAGACCGAAGACCAGAGAAATGAGGAGAAGGCACAAAGAGAAGCAAACAAAAAGATAGAGAAGCAGCTCCAAAAAGACAAACAGATATACAGAGCAACACACAGACTACTACTTTTAGGTGAGTTTGGCTTTTTTGTTTTCTGTTGCTACTTTACAGGCAAGGCCTCAATCTGCACAGTTGAGGCTTTGCTTCCTCCCTGCATAACCTTCTGGGATGTTGTTTTGGGAAACAGTCAACAGTATGACTTTGCCATTGCATAAGGCTTAAAATGCAGCACTGTGTGGGGTTTTCAGCATGTTGTTTACAGATTGGCAGTCTACCAGCACCTCAACATGGTGTTACAGAGTCCATAGGCTGAATATAAGGCAGGGGAACTGCTGGCAGTTATCATCATAGACTACATAACCAGTGACATCATCCACACTGGTTTATTGTCATTTATAGTCAATTATTGCCAAATCAGTTTGGGACTAGCTTTAGGACACATTTTAGTCCTCATCGTGTGTATAGGCTTGAAAGGCTGGCTAAGCTAACACCATTTTCACATGATATGCCAGTTTGTGTGTGTGTGTGTGTGTGTGTGTGTGTGTGTGTGTGTGTGTGTAGATGAAACAGTGACTTAAGATAATGTGACTGTAAGGAAAACCACACTGAAATCTGCTTAATGAAGAGATGAACATGTGCAAGGCTCAACATGTGGTTGTGTGTCACAGTGAACTAGAGGTGGGCTGGGTCTCTATATTACATAATAGACTAATAAGTGTCTAATTTTCCCTACCATGCTCTCCTCTGTACCCTCCTCATATGTCTGTTCACAGGCTTATCGCTTGTAAAGAAGTCAGTGTTCTTTGTAAAAATCATAATATTGGATTACAGAAATATCAGGCAGGGTGTGTATGATACACTGGTATTTTTGTTGGAGAGGAAGTTGTAGTTACTTTAGGAAAGCAGAAGGACTGGACCCACATGAAATCCAAAACAAAGATGTCTGTGGTAAAGTTAGCTGCCTTTTAGCTACATAAAATGCTACTAGTTAGACTTTTATTGCAGATGCTGGACCTGCAGACTGATATTTGAGTCTGCATAGTTTGAAGGATGTGTTTTATACAGTGGGAAAAAAAAGCCAAATTAAGTATAAAAGGAGAAAAAAAAATGCTTAACAAAAAATTGTGGTAGGACTTGTGCTCCGTTTGTATTTATGTTGGGAAAAGAAGATGGTATCTGATAAAGAATCTAGCAGTGAAAGTGGCAGCCACTAACCAAACATGATACACTGTTTAAAGCTTGATACATTTGCTGTATCAAGCTTTGTGTTATGTATAGGTGATGCACAAACATTGGCCTTTTATTAGCAGAACAAAATTTCAAGCATGTCTGTTCACCTGTTGCTCAGTATAATTGTAACCTGCAGCTGGAACTACAGCCATCATTGGATTAAGTAACTAAATTAAAGTGTTAATGAGTTGTATTGAGGAGTAGCAGTTACAAATCTTTACTTTTACAGACTAGACCTTCTATACCGAACACACACTTTTTCAAACAAAATACAGTAATTATATTTCTTTCCATTTATGAATAAGAGGTTTTTGAAATTAATTAAACCACATAAACCACCCAGACCTAATGGAGCTGCACCATGAATGAGGATGAGTAGTTGATGGGGTGGCCTGGATAGAGCACGCAGGAGGCAGGAGTCACGTAGCCGGTTTATAATTTGGTCATAAACAACCAAGTCTCTTGCCGTTCCTTACTGTCTGACGATTCTGGCACCAGCTCTTAAAGACAGAAGTTCCACAATCTTGTGTTGTCTACGGTTTATTTTTGTTGGTGTTTTCATTGTAAATGACAGTTTTCCTTCAATATCGGATTTTTGTATTGTTCAGGTTTCACACCAGTCACCTGTTCAACACGCCCACTAGCTCGGTGTGAATGCTTCGGACTACGTTACTGTATTCTCACATGGGCTCACTCAGGCTCACTTGGAAATGACATGGACTTTGTACTAGGGAGCTTGCAGGGTAAAGTCCATTTAAGGTCCAGATCAGCTGACTAACATCTGTCTGACATTTGCGTTTTTACATACAGCTCCTCCAGATAATGTCTAGATAATTTCAGGGTTCCATTACATGTCTGAAAAGGGTTCATGTCTTGACTTCAGAGTAGAGTGATTTACCGCTACTGTTATTTATTTATTTGTCCTTAAGTTACAGAGTTGATATTTTTGTTTTTGCATGTGAAAAGTCACCCAGCTTGAATTCATTAACGTTATTTCAGAACATGAACACAGTTTTGTGTTGCACTTATTCTGGAGATATGACCGTTTATTTATTACTTTTACTTTATTGGTGTGGTTTAAAAGTTTCAGGGACAGACCCACAGACTGGGGAATATTTCCTGTTGCATGTACCACTGATGGCCAGGACCTCCTAAAGCATGTTAAATTTAGGAAGTGCAGTATTAAAAATGGCACAATCTGTGACATAAACAAATATTTTTAAAATAATAATATTAAGAATCTGACCAAGCCTTTGACAGCCAACTGTTGCATTGTGCATCCATTGTATTATAGTCACAGTTGTGCTGGTACTCATAAGGATTCGGGTTCATTAGAGTTTGACTGACTGTGTTCTCAAGCATGTGACCAAAAATGGTTTCTAGTATACAAGAAGGGAAAGCCCCCAAATCACCGCTACACTACTGTACTACAGTATGTAATGCAGTAATTTTTCAAGATGTTTTCTATTTGATAAAGGTGTTTCTCTCTCTGCTCCATCAAACAACGTAGTGTGGGAAGGGACAAATCTTCAGCTCTCTAGTTTTACCAAAAAGTACAGACTATCACGTTAAAGACTTTGGACAAACAGTGCCACTTGTTATGTTCTCCATTAGAAAGAATCAGCATTGTTGAGAATAGCAACTCCTTTCCTGTCCTCGTACCAAATCATAATATTTGGGATATTCTTTGTGGCTGTTTTCACAGTATTGGTGCTCTGTAAATACTCAAAGTCCCCAAAAACTCACAGGGACTCCAGCTGACCTGAGAAAAGCACAGCCCACAGACTGCCCATCCAAATAAGTCCCTCAGTCACATATTGAGGCAAAAATGTCTTGAAAAAAGCCATAGTTGTACAAGAACTCTGCAACCTATATTAATTCAGACGTACTACATCTGTAGTCCCTGAATGGATTCAAATGAAAACGGTTATTTTAAAGGACTTTTAAAGAAGACTACCATTTGATTTTGGATTTTTTTTTTCTGTGCAAAATATGTGGACTTTCTGCTTAAGACATGAAGTTAGATTCATTCTGGGGAATTCTGAGTTGGGTCACTGGTAATTCCCAATCTTTGCTTGTAAAGATAAGGACAAAGAAGAGCAGACAAGTGAATGAAAACATTTAGGCACTGAGATGTCAAACAGTTTGCAAATTGTATATGTTGAACTTTAAGTTTCTCTCTTACAGTAAGTTAGTAAAGCTGATTTTTGGCTAACAGAAATATAGGCCAGTGGGTGCATCCTCCTGTCACTTATGTTAACACATGTGATAACATTTTATCCACAGGATATAAAGGCAAACAACAAGCTTTCTAAGTAGTAATTTTCTAGAAGAAATGTGTTCATTTCTGGAGGTAGAGGGCAATATGTAGTTTGTTTGGTCTCAAAATCAGCAACATGACAATATTGCCGGTTGAAACTTTTTTAGACTTGTTTTATATGGAAAGTCATCGGGTCTCTAAATGTCATCTTGAATTTGTGATCACAGTGTTTGCCCATTGAAAGTTTTACGTAGAGCATAGTATTGCCAGGTTTTCCACTGTAGGAGCCTAACCAGCTATACACTCCAAGCTTTCCCATAAGTGTTTGAACCTCATGGCTGATGTGGTCCATTCTATGTTGCTTTTCCACTTTATTTTCCCCTGTGTTGGTCCCTGTTTAGACAAAGGCGGGGCTGCACTTCTCACACAAACACACAGCTGAGCAGAGCATGTGAGTCAAGGACCACAGTGCTCGTTAGTACAGTATAATCTACACTAACTAGACTGTATGAACAGTTTATCAAGCTGCAGAACACAAACCTGCAGAAATGTGATGTCCATGCCACTCTGCCTGCAGTCAACTCTCTGAAGTCCCTGTTTTACCTTAAACCAATGAGTGTGTTCACACACCGTGCTGGTAATAGTAAGCTGATCAGAATGAGTTTCAAAGCTGTGGAAAAAAAATACAGGCAACTCGTGCAAAACAACGCAGTCCTGTGTGGCAATAAAGTTGGATCTGGTTCAACTTTAGCTGCACCGGACAGCGACAACATTTGGCAGAGGCGCTGCATTGACCAATCATATACAGGGGACAGTCGGAATGTGGACGCCCACAGGAATGGGAAGAAGACTCTTTTGTTTACCTTCAGCATTCACTGCTATTCACTCTCAAATTTGGGCCACAGTTAACACACCATAATGACAAGCCATGCGTTTTCCTTAGGGTACTGGATGTTTTTTATCTATCAATGCTGACAATCTGGTGGTAGAGTTGGTGCCAAGGTAGAGTAGGCTATGTTAGCAGCATGGCTAACCAAAACACAATGGACACCGTTGGGCTGGAAATATGAACAAAGCCACTCATGTGAGCTTGTCACAGCGTGGCTGTATCGTACACGCCTTCAACCCTCCACCTGCAACCCCTCATCCCCCTGACCAAAGCGGCCCAAACACAGCAGGAAAGTGCATTGTACCAGAACCAGTCTGAATGCTTGTTAATAGATGAGACCAGATACATTTAACCAATCATAGACAACAGCCTTGTTAGTGCCCACCCCCTCCCCCTTCCATTCCTGGAACCTAATTTTAGTACTACCTCCTGGGGGGGTGTAACGAAATGTAGCTCCCAGAACTGGCCTCCAAAGTGGGCGGAGGGCAGTGGAAACAACAGCAGGACCTGGGACAAGTGTTAGCCTGCATAGTCTGTTCTGTTTCAGTAGGCTTCTACAGTGCAAACCTGGCAGAAGTCACAGCCAGAACACGCTCTGAACATTTAAATCGAAAACCTTTTAGTCAGATACAGTGAATGTATCCAAATATGGGGCACCGACCTCCTGTACACACACTGTAAAGTGGCTTTTCAGACAAATGAGTATGCACTAATAATCTAACGCTTTGTGTGTGGTCTTGTTTCACATGTCAACAGAGCCTTAATATTTTCTTGTCTTCATCTCTCTTAGGAGCTGGAGAGTCAGGAAAGAGCACCATAGTGAAACAGATGAGGATCCTACATGTCAACGGCTTCAATGCAGAGTAAGTCTGATATGTTTTAAGGCACGGAAGTTGCAAAGCACGAGCAAATATCACAATGTTACCTGGGAACCATTTCTGGTACTGCATCCTTTCAAGAACACAGCACACACTAACATGTCTATGCAAAACCTAAAGTCCAGGTTGAATCTGTAGCTCCTCTTAGACCCTCTACTTAAGCCTGAATTTGACAAGTTCATATGGTGTAGTCATGTGAAATTTCCCAGTTTCAAGTTGACAAGAATTGACTGTATGCAGTATTAAACAGCCAGTTTTGGGGAAGCTAGTTTGAAAGCTTAGCTTTGTGAGCTACCAATTACTATTCTGGAAAGAGTTGAACTACAGCAAAGCTGCCCTAGGGAGAAATCTAGTATGGTTAACAAAAGAAAAATAGTGCAAACTACTTTGTAAAAAAAAAAAAAAAATTGTACATGTACATGTAATGCAAAGTATAAAACCAAAAAGTCTTGTTCCAGCAAAAAATTCTCCTGAGCTGAGTTTAGTACCTGAGACCTAAACCTGTCCTAATCAAAACAATCCCATCTGGGCTTTTCACAAGCACAAACGTGCAAGGAATATTATATCTGGATTTTGCATTATCTGAATACAACTAAAAGAAAACTCATACTTGCACCATTGTAGAGGACTTGACTCACTTGAGGCTTGGTCTAGAAAGTGGGCCTGTTATCCTTCTTGGCAGTTTTGTAACATCTGACTTGTAGGATCTTATCAACTAAAATTTGCACCTTCAACTTTAACTGCTTGAATCACTGTGCAGATATGAATGTAGCTGAACTGCCAGCAAGCTGCTGCAGAATGTAGTTAAACTACTAGTTTAATTACATGTTGTTCAGTACGCCCCTGTCTGTATACAACTGCAAGTCAGCCAGAGCTGAAGCACGTTCACATATTACTGACAGCCATGAGCTCCTACCCCTGACGGTGGCCTTCTCTGATTGGTTAGAGAGGGCAGTCCTGGTCACGAACCTTTAGAAGGGAATACCTCTGCACTGCTGCCAGGCTGTTTGATGGCTCTGGGGCCACAGGAGTCTTAGACAGCAGCTCCCCCTCTTAAGATACATTTCGGGGGGATATTTCTACTAAAGAAAATGTGAAAAATGTTACAGCACTGTGCATTTATATAGGGGGTTTTCCATTATAGGAACTTACTGAAATGTCTCCCGCAGAGTACCGCTTGTCATGGGTTCAGGGTTTGTTTCCACTGCGACTTGCCTACTTTTGAGATGCGTTCTGGGAGCTAAATTTCAGCACCCCTCAGGAGGTAGTACTAAAAATCACGTGCCAGGAACTAGGGGTGTGACAGTATTTCTCGTTGAGGCAAAAGCTGTCTCACGATATTAGTACATAACAGAACCAGGCCAGTATGATGAAGTGTGCCACATTCACATTAGTCCGTCAAAAACACAACTCCCTTTTGTGTTTTAATGAAGGGGGTTGCGTTGGTCACGGGGTGAGGGGTCCAGCTTCAGTTAGAAGTTAGAAGCTCATGCATAGTTTATGCACTGGAGAGAAGCCAAGTCCATTGAGTTTGTGGTATAACCTTTTACAGTGCTTGCATATTGTTGTCTTTTATTGCATATGATGATTCCTACTCAGAAAGTAGACCTGAAGTGACATTCATTACAAGATGATACGTTAAAACTGTTCAAAACGCGAGGGGGGGGCAGTCGCTGGTGATTGGTTAAATGTCCACATCTTCACACCTCAAGCATGAGCACCACGTGTAAATACACAGCTGACTGCATCTGTGAGACACACAGACAGAAACAGAAATGGTGGGGGGAAAAAAAGCAGGACGGTCCACGTCAGACCTGGAGGCTATGCTTGGTGATGGTTAAGGGAAGGTTCAGATAGTGGAAACGCAGCATATCTGTGTGCATCTTCATTAACAAGACCCAAAACATACAGCATCTTCATCTTTCAGTCAGATCAACGACATTGTTCTGATAATATGGCTTTTTTATTTGTTTACAAAGATGCATGGCTTGTTTCTTTTGGGGTGGGGTTGGTTAGTAAACTGGTGTACTTGTTGCTCCATATGTATGTGTTTGACCTTGAGTGTACCATCAAATCTCATCTTTCATATGTGTAACAATGTGTTACCTTTTTGTTTTTGACAAGCACAGTAATATGTTTCAGTGAGCCTGGATCCCGATTCAGGACATAAACGTAAGGGTTTAATAACGTCGGTGATAAATGATTTGGAGTGAACCGACTGAGTGTTTTGGTAACCCAAAGGACAGAGTAATTTGCTCATGGCCAGAAGACTGCTAGTTCCAATTGCTGATCTCATTTAGAAAGGGAGTGAATGATGGTCTTGGCTCTCTCTGTTCTTTCAGCAGCTATGACTGAGCTGCCCTTGAATAAGGCATGTAATGGCCAGCTACATCACTGGAGCTGTTAAGGGGTCAACAGCTGGGGACTGGGGATGTGTGGGACAGAGGAAAGTTTTTATAAACGCAGATGCTGAGACCCAAACACTCTGACGATGACACATTGAGACTGAGTCAAAACAGTGAAGTTGTGGACTGTAAAACCAAAACGATGAGCTTAAAGATGCTTATTTGACCTGATTTGAAGGCTTGGGGATCATGCGATGGGCATTTTTCACTACTTTTTGACATTGCGTAGACTAAATTATTGATTATTTACTTGAAAAAATAAACTTCAATATAGTGTATGTGTTTGATAATTTTATGTTTTTGAAGGCAGAATGATGACAAATGTTATTATTTGGTACTAATTTCAGACTTGGTTTACCAGTGCTTGTCACTTTGCTACTAACTGCCTTTATTTACCTTAACCTATCACTTAGATGTTGTCCCTGTAACGAGTTTATGACACGTCTTCTTTCTTTCTCTAACCACACACAGGAATGCAGTCATACACTCAACACTGGAGAGTGCACACACACACGACCATGTGATTTTTAGTGACTCTCGGTTTGAAAATGTAAACAGGGCCTTTTCAGTCTCCCTCCTAACCCAATAAACTCTGTCTTACCCCCCTCCTATCTCTCACTCTCTTGTGTTTCTTGGTGCACACTGGCCTCATAGGCTTCACAGGCCATGTTGCCATTTGGCAGTGAAGATTACACAAACTTTATTCCAGTCCACATGCCTTTTAAATTTTGAAAATTGTATTAGTGGCAATATAACAACTCCATATATTTTGTTTCAAGCCTTTCTGGGCCACATTCTGAACCAGATTTGTAAAACAAACAGATTTTGTTAGAGGCTTTTTCCTTGTCAGAGCAACGGTTTCAAGTAATTTTAATACTGCGCCTCCAGTTTTGCATGTGCTAGAGCTCAAATATTGCAAAACATCTGTGAAAGGTGAAAATGGGCTTGTAGTAGCATTGTAGTGACATGGTACCTTGGCCCAGTAAAGTGTATGTGGATGAGATTTTGTATTTGTAGTTTGGAGCATGGTGTGAGAAAATACCTTCTCACTACTGACCTGTTCATGTTCAGTTGGATGCAAATTTCAGATTATTTGTTCCTTCTGATCTCTCTAATCTTAATCCTCACCTCTGTTAAACTTGATCAATCCTACATTAGTGTGTGTGTGTGTGTGTGTACAACCTGGGCTATTGAGAAAATATGCTTTTTCAGTTTAAAACTTGCTGTAGCTATTACTTTTTGCCTGTAGATGGTGACATTAATGTGTGTATCTGCATACCTAAATGGCTACTCCTGTTGCTTTTCTTGTGTATGAGGCAGAAATAATTGTGTTTAGCAAGTTTAGAATTAATCTGACGGTAACAAAACAGTTCCCCCTTGTGAGGAAGAATTGTGCAGCTTTTGTTTTTGGTAATCAAATACATCAGTATGCAAATTGCACTAGTCTAAAGAAATTGATAGACCCCACTTGGATTGGCAGTGATCTCAGGTTATCTGCTGATGCTCTACATTTTGGCATGGTTGCAGAGCAGTGCAGCAGTGTCACTTGTGGATATAAGTTAGGGCTGGCACAGGGGCCCACCTCACCCTTTGTCACTGACATAGAGGTATTGTAAACACAATGTGCTGTTGTCCTGGCATGCTCAAGGTGAAAGATATAGACTAACTGCCTCTCTGGTTTCCATTGTTGGAAACATTTCTGTCATAGAGTCTCCAGATATGTTGTACAAACAATTACCCTTCACCTCAGACAGACATAATTTCTCTATCACGCATGCCAATGAAGGTCTGTTTACCCTCCCCATATCTAAAACTAACTGAATTCAATGCACTGTAGTGCAGCATGCTATGGAACTCCCTCCATGTACTTTTTAAAACTTCACTAAAACTATGCTTGCTAGTTGGGGATGTGAAGGTTCATCGTTCATAATGGCCTGTTTCGGTACAGGACATCTGTGCAGATGTGTACTGACTACAATCTTTAATGGTAGTTAACAGTACGCTTGTCTTGCGTGCAGATCATTTTATAAATCCGCATTCCCACACAAACATGTTAAATGGTGGACCAGGGAGCAATAAACACACACAGCACACTTATTCTTTATTTTATTCTTTCTTTCTTTCAAGCATGTAAAGACAGTTGATATGTCAACACATAATTTTACACATATCCAACAAATGCTAATCCAATATCAATGTGCTTATACCTAGTACATGCTTGAATGGAGTAGGAAGAAGTCAGACTTATCCAGTCCTACCCCATAACATCATCTTACCATCATTGGTTTGCAAGCAGTATCTCTACATAAATAATTATCTTCTACACCACACAAGTAATATACTAAAGAATTATAACAAAGTGTTAACATTCATACACCACACCCACAATGTTCCGCTTAGCTCTAACTAGCGAACGCCATGACGCTGTGATGTTCTCTGTGGTAATGGACAACCTTTACAAAGTTCAACAACGGGGTGACTGGTTCAGTGGGTAGAGCAGCCATCTCCCAATCGGAGGAATCACGGTGCCTGCAGTCTGCATGTTGAAGTGTCCTTGGGCAAGACACTGACCCCCCATGTTGCCCCCGATGGTTAGAGCCATCGGTGTGAGTTGGCGTCGGTTCTGTACCAGAAACAAATTTTGGCCAAATAAAGGTGATTATCCTATTGTTATTAAAATATCCTTGAGGGCATCTTGGCTTAAGCTTGAGATGCAAAATGTAACAGGCGTGTGTGATACAAACTGGAGGATTCAAAAGACATGGACATTTAGGAGGCTGGGAGGGTCTTAACAGAAGATGCTGTTGTGTTGCATTGTTGTATGAGTAAGTGTAGCTCTGTGTCTCTTGTGCTTCAGTTTTGATCCTTTGTTGACTTCATGGACATGAAATACTAAATTGCTGAAGTACCCCTTTAGGATTACTATTTTTCTGTATAAGGGGCTTTAAATTAAAAACTTGTACCACGAATCAGTTTGTATCCTACGTCTTTTTGTGAGGTTTCCACATAGAAAGAGCAATGATGTGTATGTAGGGCAGTGCTTCTTACCGTTAGTCTGAAGTCACTGTTATGTCTATAGGTTACTGCTGTATAGCAGTGATCTATAACATGCTTGCCACTGAACCTCTTTGTCTATTTCAGAGAGAAGAAGCAAAAAATTCAGGACATCAAGAATAACATTAAAGAGGCTATTGAGGTAAGTGGCTGTGCTTGTTATTTTTTCCTTGTAGCAGATGAAAAATGCTTAATGGTACTTTGCTTAGCTCACACACACACACACACACACACACACACACACACATTCATCTTCTGTGTTTCAGTCATGCTGACTTAAATGTGTTCTGTCTGGGTTTGTGTCTATGTGGCAGACTATAGTAACAGCAATGAGCAACCTGACGCCACCAGTGCAGTTGGCTTGCCCAGAGAACCAGCACCAGATCGAATACATCCTCAACCTCGTCAACCAGAAGGACTTTGAGTTTCCATCTGTGAGTAGTATATTATCAGATTGTACACAAATTCATAAATATGGTTATCGTCACTACAGTTTTAAATGGAAAACTATTACAACCTGGATCTTATTTTTATCATACCTGTCAGTTATAATCATGTTGGTTTCCTCACCAAATTTTGTGCTGAGAACCTTTTTAGTATAAAGTAGCTTCAGAAATTATTCAGGCCCCTTCACATTTTGCACACTTTTATGTTGTAAATTTAAATATAAATGGATAAAACTATATTACATTTTGGCCTATAAGTCTACCCTTTATAATCTACTGACAATGTAAAAATGTTTTTAGATTGTTTTGCAAATTTATGGGAAATCTAAAACTTATTTTTTTTTTATTTTCAATATACCCTTTGCAGTGCTTTGTTTGTAGTCACTCTATATATGTCTAAATGACATTGGCATTGATTCAGACTTTGATAATTTAGTGTTACTGAATATGTATGGTGCTTTTTCTTTGTTGTTTCACAAGCATTTCTGTTGTATGACAACAAAGCTTTTGGGTCTGAGGATAACTTGTAGTTTCATCTTTGATTAGAAACTACCTTGTACAACAGTTTTGACTCCATGTAATGCATTACTATAGTAGTTCAGTTTTGACTCACTCCATGTAATGCATTACTATAGTAGTTCTTTATGCATATACTTTTATAATGATTGGAAAACTTTAACAAACATTTCAGATACAACCTGTTTTGTTTTTACCTCCAAAATATGGGCTGGATGGCTAAACAAATTTAAGATTGGTTTAATAACCTGTTTGATTGTATCATGTTGCATACCCCGTCTGTGACTGTGGCGCAAAGCTGTGGTTGGTACAATACATGTGTAACAGGTGCAAGTATCCTCAGTGGGGTGTTTGTGTTTCAGTAGATGATACTAGGTAATATCCCCACTATCCCAGGTGTTAGTCCCTTGACATGGGTAGCAAACACTGAGGTTTACTAATAACCTGGTGGGTAATGTTTGTCTGGGCTTAGTATTCTCAATGGGACATTTCCATTATCTAATTGTCCAGGCCCAGAGACTAAACCGTAGTCACCTGTGATGCCAGGCTTAATTCACTTTTCACTTCACTCATCTGAAAAACTTACTGAGCAAGTTATGTAAATCACAGTATGTTGTGCTGTGACTTGTATTAAATGAGCTATAACAAGAGTCTTTTGACTTGTCTGCTACTTAATGAGCTATTTAGCACACATGCTTATGTTTAATATATAATGGTGATTAGGAATAGACAAAAGCACCTCTTGTTTCTTTTCATACCGCCATAGGTGATGGCCGTCAGCTGTTCTGTCAAACTAGCACCACCACATCAACTCTGCCGAACTGTCCCTGAGCAGGACACCTGTTGCTTACCAGCTCCTGTGGCTCTGTTTCTAAGCTGATGCTGCACTCTAGCCTCCTTGTTGGGGCTGCTGGTATCACATCTCATATGTATTTGAGCATTTGGGTTTGCATGGTTGTCCAGTTTGATAGCTTTATTGTTCTAGTGTGATGTTACTGGAGAGAGAAGAAAGGGAGGAAGTAGCAGAGAGAGGGGAAACAAAGAGGGAAATTGGGATAGAGGAGGCATTGCATTATAGTTTCTTCTGCATGTCTGATTAGAAGAGGACTCTGCATACACATGACAACTTTGTTGTGATGGAGAACTGCACCACGGAGGGATTTGTTTTTACATGTAACGGGTACATGGTAACAATTTTCCAGGTATAGTATCAGTTTGAAGCAACTGGAATCAAATCTGTGAGTTTTCACACATGGGATGCTCAGTAACCACTGCTCATTTGCTGCTCCAGGAATTCCACTCATACTGAGCTGTTGCGAAGCAGTCGTTTGTTTATGGTTGCTGTTTGGCTTTATTTGTTTGGTTGGTTGACTTGTTGGTGGGTTGACATAGTTGACATAGTTTCCACATTATAAAACAGGATGACAAAAGTCTGTTCTGCCTTACACTTGCTTCAGCGCCGTTGCTCACTGTTTGTGTAAAGAGACTTGTTGTTCCCAGTGTGGAAGATGGAAATAGCCTGCGCTTGGCCTGCATTAGGTCAGTTCATGGGCACATCAACTACAGAGTTCCTGTTAATTAACTTAACCAGCAATGAACATAGTAAACACACTGCTTAGTCGCTCTAGCCCCTTTTACACTGCCAGTTCAAGGTTTGATTATTGCACTGATTTTTTTCCACCATGCTGTTGTGGGGGGGTGGGGGAGTGCTGACCCTCCATTATCCTGCCACTAGAGGTAGTAAAATTGGTGCAACTGGTCCTGTGCCCTCAGACACACACTGTGGATGACAGGGTCACCGGTCTGTTTTCTTTCTTCTGTCACAGCTGCAATATTTGGTGTAAAATGCACAGTAAGTAAAACGGAACAGAAATGAATGTATGTTTTGTGATATCTTAAGTTTTTGAGCAGCTGGTAAATTGTCAAGAATGAATATATTATTTTTTTGTAACTCTTCATCAGTTTCCCCAACCAACTTTCTGCCTCCTGTCATTTATGTCTTCCTTTGTTTCCCTGTCCCTCCTCAGGAGTTTTATGACCATGCAAAGACACTGTGGCAGGATGAGGGGGTCAGGGCGTGCTACGAGAGATCTAACGAGTACCAGCTAATCGACTGTGCACAGTAGTAAGTAGCTACCTGCCTGTCCACCGTCATGGTGAAATGATATTTACACTGAGGTACAAATTTATTAGGTGCATTAATAGATGCTTTGATCCAACTGGCTGCAGCATCGGTTTTAACACAAACTCATTCTCATGTTAGGAAAACGTGATCGTAGTCTAAACCAGGAAAGTACAACTAAAAGTTATTTGTTTTATAACCTTAGACTACAGTCTGTCCCAATCTGTGGAACATCTTGTTTTAAATAATTTAACATATCTTTATGAAATAACTTTTTTCTGAAGCCTTAAGTTTCTTCACATTTCTTCCTCTTATTATTATTGTTGAACATTTACAGGACAGTAAGGGAATGTTCAGTTGCACAGTTCAAGTGCATTCAATTGTCTTTTTTTGTGTGTTTGTGTTTTTCGGCTCACACTGCCAGATTACAAGTGAGCCAGGGTAAAGTCAGGGTAAAGGTTGGGGCACACTAGTGACTCTGTGATGTAAAGTACTTTGATGCCAGGAAGCACCTGAGCAGATACACCTGTTGAGTGTGGTGTACACAATGGCAAGTGGAGCTAGAACATCCCGACTCTCCACTCACTGTTCTAGGGGACTTTCACAGAGCAAATCTCTCCCACAAACTGCCCAAATACAGACAGCACGTCACCTGTCTTACCAGGGACAAAGTCACACTGGACCACTGCTACACAACAATAAAAGACACACTCTGTCCCCCATGCAGCCCTCAGACTCTCTGATCACTGTATGGTCCATCTTATTCCAACCTACAGGCAGAACCTTAAAAGTAGTCAAAACAGTGACGAGCTGGACTGAGGAGGCTAAGTCAGAGCTACAGGCCTTCTTCAACTCCACAGATTGGAGTGTATTTGAGACTGCAGCTATAGACCTGGACAAACTCACTTGACACTGTCACATCTTATATCAGTTTCTGTGAGGATGTGTGTGTGCCCAAAAAGACCTGCTGCACATACAACAACGACAACGACAACAACAAGAAGCCCTGGTTTACAGCAAGACTCAAGCAGCTTTGTCGTGCCAAAGAGGAGGCTTACAGAAGTGGGGACAGGACTTTGTACAGCCAGGCCAGGAACACACTGACAAGGGAGATCAGAGCAGCTCTGAATAACTGAGGAACCAGTTTTCAGCCAATGACTCTTTGTCTGTGTGGGGGACACTGAAAACATCACTGGCTATAGAAAACCATCCCCTATGCTCAACTAGCAGACGACCTGAATGTCTTCTTCTCCTGCCCGTTTCTGTGTGGGGGACACTGAAAACATCACTGGCTATAGAAAACCATCCCCTATGCTCAACTAGCAGACGACCTGAATGTCTTCTTCTACTGCAGGTTTGACAACCAACACTCCCCCCTCACCCTCCCCACCTCAGACCCAGCAGCTGCTCCCTCCAACTCTAGCGATCTGTGAAAAGGATGCGCATTGGATGAAATTATCTACCACAACCAAATCAGCTGAGTAGCTCTTTATAGCTTCTATCAAGATAAAATATAAAAATATATTTGGGCAAACAAACAAGCTCAGATAATCTCACTGTGAAGAACCAAAGTAAGCTGGATTACAATATTCAGCATGTTATTAGCTAAAGGACCAGATGTTTTCATCAGAAGCTGATGGGGCCTAAAGCGGAGCTAGTGAATTCTGGACGGGAAGTTACTTTTGGCTTGGGTGAGAAATGCTATGTATATGCAGGTTCTACAAAGTAAGGCAGACAATTTTCTGCTAAGACATTAGCCATAAATAACAACTTGACAACTCTATGGTCTATCAGAGCTGTGTTTCAGGAAGGTTTGTTATCTTTCTGTCTCCTTGTGACCAAAATGGCTTAATGCAGCTTTGTTTGCATTATGGGTTGGTATTCCAGCAGAGTATATCATGAAACAAATAAATACTATACTTATTTAGCTGGATATTCCACTTCCTGCTACTTAGTGATTCATAGACTACAGGAAATGCGACAAGAAATGGAATATAAGTGTTGTATCGGTAGTGTTTTCATGATTTTATTCCATACAAAAAAAAGCTAGAGATTATACATTTGCATTCAAAGACTGACAGTAAGTGCTGTTTTCATTCTATACCAATGACTGCATCTCGAAGGACCCTTCTATGAAGCTCCTTAAGTTTACTGAGGATACAACGGTCATTGGCCTCATCCGAGACGACAACAAGTCAGCTTGCAGATGGGAGGTTGAGCAGCTGGTCCTGTGGTGTAGCAACAACAACCTGGAGCTGAACATGCTCAAAACAGTGGAGATGACAGTGGACTTGAGGAAGAACCTTACCTTACCTCCCCTCACCATACTTGGCAGCACTGTATCAGTGAGGGCATGGACCATTCCCAGCAAATAGTCTGGGCCAACTTGGAGTCACTGGCAGCAATCTAAACATTTGCAGATGTTGTGGTTTTTGCCTTTATGTGCAAAGAGCCACTAAACATGGTTTTAATTGATATGTTTAACATCTACACTCAAATTATGGTCAGATACAGTTGCAAATATGTGCAGTTAACATCTTTCACCCGACACAACCTAAGCTTTCCTCTGCCATATATAAATAATTCATACTTTAAGTTTGCATAAGGGCCTCTTAAATATGTATTTAACAGCTCAGACTTGCAACAGACTGATGTGCGTTTCCAAAGCAAAAGCAAAGTCAAAAAAGAAGAACTGTAGTGAAATAGTTTTCTTGTAACAGCATAACTTTTCAGTTGAGGAGCAAACATGGCAGAGGCTGAGTCATCTACAGATTAGAGGAGGAGGAGGGGGGGTGGTGTTCCTGGAGGATACCTTTGCTGCACAGCTGTGGGCTGCGAGTGTGTAGCCTGATGTTCTTCTAGGAATAAATCATTCTTGTTGAATATTACATGCATTTAATACAAAATTTTAGGATGGTTTGGTGTGTAAAACTTGACATGAGGGGACCCCCCCCCCCCTCCCCTGTTTCTTCCTCATGTGGTTGAGATGGTATAATCCAGTCTTTTGTTCCCTCCCTCTTCTCGCTCACGCATCAAGCACAAACTCATCCTGCTCTTGCTTTCTTTTTCTCCTCCTCTGTCTTCCTTTTTTCCGTCTCCGTCTGTCTGTCTGTCTGCTTTCTGGAGCTGCTCCAGCTGCACCAGATTAGGAGCTGATCGACTATTAATAGTGCCTGTAGTTGAGTCTCCATGGTAACCATGCTGGAGGCCAGGGCGCAGGGGAGCTATTTTTGAAATCTGCGCTGTAATGTCAGACACCACTATGCTTTCATTCTCTCTCTCTTTCTCTTTCTGTTCTCCTCCTTCCTTTCTGTTTCTTCCCTTTTTTCACATTCACTTCCATGTGCACTCATCTGTCCTTTTCTGTTTCGACGTGCACTTGTTCTTCTATGCACCACGTCGACTTTCCTTTCTGTTTTTCTTTTTTGTTTGTTTTGGTTTTCTCTCCTCTGTCCATCTCTTTCAGTTTCTTTGTTTTTCAGGAAAGCAGATTTTGGCAGAGATGCACTTAGACTTGCTTAGTGTTACATAGTTTACCTATGATGCAAAAGTGACTTGTGCATGTTTAGATGATGCAAACTAAATGATCAAATCACCACTGTGCAACTTATCATGTCTGCAAAAAGTAACTTTCTGATTTCTTTTACCCCAAGTAATTATATTATTGAAATGATCATTTTTGATGTTACTTATACACATCGAGATTATTTTGACCATCTTGAGCAATCTGTGATGTTTTGGGATTTTAAAAGGTGAAATAGGAACTAGAGCTAATGTTGGAAAGTACAGATTTCTATGAACATTAAGATGATTTCAGTTTTGCTTTAAATGTATTTTTCGTAACGGTTTGAAAGGGGCTTAGCAAAATTTTTTATTGGTTGATAACTTGGTATGGGTTACTGAAATGTTCAGGCATGTCTGCGGTTTGGGCTGTTTTCAAACTTAGCGTTTGTCCACCTACCACTGTGTACAGTCTTGATTGTGTAATAATCAAAACATACTGTAGCATTCCACTAGTTTTGTATGGTCTACATTTCCGTATACTATAATAAAAATAGATTTTTGATCAGTTGCATTTTACATTGATAGACCAAGTGAAGTTCAGAAAAGGTTTTGAAAGTAAAAAAAAAAAAAAAATACAGCATTAAATTAATAAACATGCCACATAGCTGTATTTCTTCTTGCGCTTGACTGATCTGAAACTTAAAACCACCAATTAAAAGCTTATTTTTGAACATGTATATCATTTACATTTTTGTTCTGGTCATTTCGATCAATGTTTATTCATTTCTGGCACATGCACTGATGCATTTCGACATATCGGTAGAGCGTTTTCCTGTTTTCATTGGCTATTGAAGGAGCAGGGAGGACGCCTGTGTCTCGAAGGTCACCTGCCAATCAAAACACACAGTATCATTTATATCAATTTCAATAGAGCGTTTTACTCACATTGTCAAATTGTTGTGTTAAAGGCCTTACCAACATGCCATGCAGAACCTGTGAGGGAAAACAGCTGCTGTATTTCAAATGGCTGGGGTGTTTTGTATGAGTGCACCTTTTACTAAAACACACCTGTATCTTTTTAAATTTGGCAACATCTTGTTAAAGGGGTGATGCTCACCATGGAGAAGTGTACTATCATTTTACAGTTCAAACTTTTTTTTTTCTGTTATTTATTGTGACGCCTGCGCAAATCTATACATGTAAAAGACTGTAAGCCTTCGACAATATGAAGCAAATATCTGATCAGTAGTACTGTCCCAATAACGGTTCTCTTACTTGTTGTCTCTCAAGTTTCCTAGATAAGATCGACATTGTGAAACAGAGCGACTACACTCCAACTGATCAGGTGGGTGGATTTCTGCCATTACAGCCACTTTTTCTCTTGAGTTATTTCAACAAGAAGTGGGTTTGAACATGTGGTGTGTATCAGAGTTTAATAATTTGCCTGTTACTGTTTGCCATCCCTAATGACCCTTACCCAAATGTATTAATGTACACCCATGTTATAGAGTAAAAAGGGTCAGCGTTGGAGTTGGATATTGATCTATGCTGTGCATTTGTTTTCAGTTAAAACTGCTGACCCGGAGTAGAGCAGCGGAGCCTCTTTACATTGTTATTTTCAGTTTTAAATGTGAAATAAGTGTCCATACCATCAAAGATGAGCCTTGTGTAATTGTTTTACCCAACTTGCCCTGTATACACATGGAAATTAGGGCATAAAATAAAAACATTTCAAGTCCTAGTTTCTTCAGGTTTTCACCCTGATCTAGAAAATAAGTTTAGGAATTTCTAGGGTGTAAAGCTTGTTCTGGAGTTTACCAAGTAAGCATTCAAAATACAATAAAATGTCTTTATGACCTTTTGCTACAATTTCTCTTATTTTCACCAGGACTTGCTGCGTTGCAGAGTACTGACTTCAGGGATCTTTGAGACAAGATTCCAAGTGGACAAAGTTAATTTCCAGTAAGTAAAACCATAAAACATGTGAAATACCAGTGTATGTTTTCTTATTAAACAGACTCATATCTTCAATATTAAACATGTACTGTGATAGCATATATAAATAAATGGAGTGGCTTGGAGAAAATAAGAAGCACAGCTTCTCCACATGATGGCAGCATTTCACCTGTTAACACTGATGTGTCATGTTTCATTTACACAGTATGTTTGATGTCGGCGGTCAAAGGGATGAACGTCGGAAATGGATTCAGTGCTTTAACGGTAACTTCTCTTTATTTCGGAAATGGATTCAGTGCTTTAACGGTAACTTCTATTTATTTCTGCTTCCTCTCACTTCAGTAATCTCACATTGTTTTCTCTCACTGTGGCTGAGTTATCTCTGCCCCTCTCTCACTGTCAGATGTAACGGCCATCATCTTTGTGGTGGCCAGTAGCAGTTACAACATGGTGATCAGAGAGGACAATCAGACCAACCGTTTACAGGAGGCCCTCAACCTCTTCAAGAACATCTGGAACAACAGGTGAAAGGACACCTAATGTTTTCTGTCACCCTGTTGAAGTAAAGGCGATGGGAAAAAGTCAAACCATGCACTCCCAGTTTCAAAATAACAAAATCTGAAAGTCTTCTCAGAACATAAGCCTTTTGCTACTATAGATGGATAATGGTTATCGACCAAGCTCAGTGTCAAGTATGGTAAACTTTTTATGAACCGGCCTCCTTTTTCTCTTGAATGATTGTATAACTGAGTGCAGGGGTTTCCTAGCAACAGGCACAGCAGATCACCAGCCAAGGATAGAGCATGCACTTTATTTACATGTTCCAGCAGCATGTAAGCAAATAAAAGCTGTAGAAATTAGGAAAATCAGCACCATCTTTGGAAGTGTGTCTTGCATTTAGTTTATCATCATGTAGTCGGTGTGATCTTAATGTACGGTGTTTTGTTCTCTTCAGATGGCTGCGGACCATTTCTGCCATCTTGTTCCTAAATAAACAGGACCTGCTAGCAGAGAAGGTGCTGGCAGGGAAGTCCAAAATTGAGGAATACTTTCCTGAATTTGCTCGCTACACCACCCCTGACGACGGTGAGCAGTCGGACTACAGTTGTCTGCTCTTATTCACAGACACCTGTGATCTCACCCTGTCATTTAGACAGTACCATGTCACTCAGAGTTGAAAAGTTCACCATCAGGTCTCAGCAACACTACCCATAATAGTACGAGTACAGCTGCCCTTTTTCCACTGCAGATGTCTCTTTTAGAAACATTCTAAACAATCTAGAAACAATCTAATCATTGTTTGTGAAGAGTTACCAGACACCCCAAAGTGCCTCAAACAGTCCCAGCTGGTCTCTGAAAAATACCAAGATGTCCCAGTTTTCCACCACCTGTGCCAAATATGTCCCAGTTCTATGAAAACCTCTCACTTATCACTGTGAGAGGCTCCTGAGTCCACAGAATCATCCATGTGCTTTCACAGAGATACAGAGGATGTTTGTTTCCACTATGAGGCTATTATTAAAACAGCTGTGCATAACAAGGCCAAGCCTCCAAAGATCTGTGAGGGACAGCGCATTTAGTGTCACTGACCACAAGAGGTCATCCTTTGTGCACACCTGTGAGTTTGTTTCCGTTCTCATACACACACACACACACACACACACACACTTTTGCCTACAAAATGTGTACTTCATTGCTAATCAACGCCAAAAAAGAATCCAGTTTCCATCCTTATTGTTGTATGGTCCACTTGTGTTTGATCAGCCCCATTCTGAAGGAAGAGTTTTGGTCTCATTAGGCTTTCTGTCCTTCCTCAGCAACACCAGAGCCTGGTGAAGATCCACGTGTCACAAGGGCAAAGTATTTCATAAGAGATGAATTCCTGGTAAGTGCATATGCATCAGTGTTCTTTTGTTGTCTATGTAAAATTATAAAGACTCAGTCATCTCTGTTCTTGTTGTCAACAGATCCCTGGATAAGACCAACATCAACAATAAACTGATCTTACTAGCACATATTGTCTAATATATTGTATTTCTCTGTACCATAGAGCTCCACTGTTGTCCAGTTACTCATCAGTGGGCCAAACTGTTGCCCTGGGTGACATGTTCCTTCATTACAGATAACACTGGCACTGTACTTTATTTTGAGCCACTCCCACATACAATGTCCTGCTGTTGTATATACTTGCTAGAGGACCATATGTGTATTAGTCCCCAACAAATACACTGTTTATTACTGTTTGTGTAATGTCTGGTAAAAACTACAGTGCTCATCTGTTAAGGAAATTATTTGGCATTTTATTTGTGCTGTTTTTTGTTAGAAAGTGTCGAGAGACTGAAAAACACATTACTGGATTTGGTCTTTTCATAGGATTTGTGGACAGTTAAATCATCTAATGAGCCAAGACCAAGAGTGTGTGTTTGTGCTCTGCTTGTTTGCTTTGCACTGGGTCTGTTAAAAAAGAAAAAAAATGGAAACACTTCCTGCTGCTAAAGAAAACCTCAACAGTCCAGTTTCTCAATAATGTTAGGTTGTAATATCTGTAATGAAAGAGAATTCAACTTTTCCTTTCTCTGTCTATAGAGAATCAGCACAGCAACCGGGGATGGGCGGCACTACTGTTATCCCCACTTCACCTGCGCCGTCGACACAGAAAACATCCGCCGTGTCTTCAATGACTGTCGAGACATTATCCAGCGAATGCACCTGCGGCAGTATGAGCTGTTGTGATGGGAGAGAAAAGGTGTTAAGACAAAAACGGATTCGACTATGAAAAACCCTGAACCCTGAGTCTGAACTCCCCTCTTCCACAGAAGTGTGTGGGCTCTTGTGAAGGAATGGGGACCAAAACTCAGACATGCAGACACTTACAGTAAACACACCCTGAACCCAGAACTTCTCCTGATGCAAACTCCCTACCTGCAGTAGACAGCTGTTTTGATAGAAGCATTTGAGGGGTTATCACATGAACAGACTCCGATCTCCGCTCTCAGCCATATTCCCAGCTCCTCACCTCTGAACAACATGCATCACCTTCACCTTTACAAAAACCCAGAGTGGTCCAGTCTGGACTGTATTTCCTGCAGTGCAGAGGGTTTGAGCTGCCATTGAGATTGTAAGACTTTGCTCTTGTTGAGACAGAGAGAGCTACTGCAGTGCAACTAGGAAAGGGAGAATGGTTGAATTCCTGCAAATAAACATGTCAACAGATCAGCTGAACACTGTATCTAACAAAGAACATAAGCACTGTGCTCAATACTTGACTCAGACCATGTACACCAATCCTACTATCACTTAAACGTGCATTAGTACAAGCAGAGCCACAAGATCTGCTTGCACGCAGAAATGTATCACACCTGTTATCTACTGGACTGCACAACTGGGGTGGATCCCGAAACATACTGATCTGCAGACTAGTATCAGGCTAGTCGAGCTGCCAGCAGATTTTTCCAGTACAGCGCTTTGAGATTAAACAGCCTGTGACTGTTTGTGTAGCTGAGCCCCAAGGAGCAGTGTCGCCAGAGACTAAACGGACCAGGGGTGTGTTGTGGTCAGTCAGTCAGGCCGCGAGGGGGCAGAGGTTCACAAAATTAGAACAGAAACAACTCCAGTGTGAATTTCTCTGATGGAGTTTGGACATAATTGACAGGGATGGCGATGACAGTCCCTCAACTTCTCCACAGAATAGTTTTGCCTCCTGACTTTGCCTCATTGGTAATGGAGCAAAACATGAGGAGGATATATTAAGTTTAAAATAAAAAAGAAACAAAGAAAAAAAGCCAACTTTTACAGGACTTTACAAACGGAGGGCAAAAAGCATCCTTCTTCAGTACAGTACCATACAAGTTAAAGAGAACTTTCATCTTGTCATGATTGACCCTGTTTTACTGTCTCCACAGCTGTTTTTGTCTGTGTTGACTTTTGTGCCATTGTGCCCTGTGCGCTCTCTCTCTTTATCTTTACTCTTTGTCTCTCATTCTCTTCTTTTTTTCACCCCTGCTCTTCCTCCTCTGAGAATTTTACACACTCTCCTTCACATTTGTCCCCTTTCTCTCATTTTCTCCATCACTCTCCCTCCTCCACTCCAGCACTTTTATCCAACTGACAGCGTTCTTTTATTTTAAGGGGAAATAAAATGTAATAATCCAGGAATATAAAAAACGATGACGGCAACAAACGGGACACAGTTTTTTTTATAACTCGTGGTCAGATGGCCTGCTCGCACCTCCCTGCCATTCCTCCCTCTATCATTCCTTCATCGTTCCTCCTTCCCACCCAGCCCCTTGCTCCTTTGTATGTCTGTCTTGACTTTACTGCTGAACTATTATTCTTGTACAGACTGTAAAATGTATTATTTTGTACAACTTTATTGAAAAAAATAACTTTTAGAAGATCCCTGTGCCTTGATCACGACTGTACGTGTGTAATGAGCTAAAGTGGGTGTCATACTGCGCTGTATAGCTTGGCCAAGCCCCTCCTAAATTTCTGCCTCCCTCACCACTTTGTTCTCCCCCTCGCTCTTTCTTTACCCCTCTCTCTTTATCTCTCTCTGTTCTTGCTTTCTCTCCTGTGTTGTTTCTCTCTCCTTGGGGACAGAGGACAACCATTGGTAGCTTTTGTAGTTTTATTTCTCTTCCCCTCTTCTCCTGTTCTCTTTATGATTTAAATGTCTATTTTTGGATCCATATACCCACAAAAGATAAATATATGAAATGTATATGGGTTTTAAAAAAGTATTTTATTAGAATGAAATGAATCTTGACAAATTGTACACTTGATAGTGTGCGTATTGCTATAACTTAAATCCTTTCAAATGAAGTTGTGTTCAGGTTTCTTTTGTTTTCTTTAGTTGACATCTGCAAAGGACATTTTTGAAGGGTTAAAGAGGATATGACAGGTGCAAAACATTGCTCATTCCTACACATAGCTAATTCTTTTGCTTAAAAAAAAAGGCCAAAAAAGAATAAAAGGAATTCATTTCAGTTTTTCTTCTGATGAGAGGGGGTCCACCATCTTAGCCTCATACAGCAGAGACAGCCTGTATAGTATTAGCATCTCTCTCTCATTTCAGTGCCCTAGTCTTCATTTAATGTGTACATCGAATATGGGTCTCTACTTTCTGAACAGGAGCTCTGAAGAAATAAAGTTTTTTTTTTGGTGCAGACAGCAACAGATCTGTCATTAACCATATAAACACACCCACAAACACAGGCAACACTCCTGCTGACTCTCATAAGCTGCATTTTTGAAATCTTATCCCTTAACTTTTATCATCCGGAAGGGCTGTTGTAAATCCATGCTCCACAGAACGGGAGTTTCCTGTTCGTTTACTAGTCATTTCCTCTTCAAATACACAGTCTGTATTTTTGGGACAGGAGGGCTTCTGGTTTTTGAAGCTCAGTAATGTGTGAAATCATACTGAAAGTGAATACACTCAATTAACTCCTCACAAAAGCGTAACTGATTTGCCTTTATCATGCATTTAACTCCTCAACAAGTCCCTGAAGGAAAAGATGATTCCTGTTACATGTTTTTGGCCTGTGTTGCAATGACAAGTTAAAAATGAAACATTTTAACCTCTTCATTGCCACAGTACAAACTCTTTCAGTGCAGCCAAATATTGTTCAAATCCAAAGAACTCCATTGTAATTTGTAGTGAAGACCCCACATTTTCCAAAGATGCCAAATAAGTTGGATTGAGTTTTGGGAAAATGTGTATAAAATGATGCATGTGACTGAATGTGGCAGCCATAAAAACATAATGAATACATGCAGTATTTAACTCTGTTAACAACTTCTTCAATGAAGAGCTGGCCAAGCTGAAAAAAAGATCAGTATGTGACACTGTCAGTGGGAAGTAAGATAATATTCCTGATCATAAAACAACTTGCAGTGAAACAAAGGAAAATGTACTTCAGACCCTACAAAAGCACTGTTAGAAAAGCATCTACCTTCATGTAACTGTTGGTCATAATCTTCCTCTGGTGTTTGGGGGTGTGGTAAGGGGACACACAACCTTGGCCTTTATAAAAATCCTTCCTACAGATCTCAGGGCAAACATCTGTATTGACCCGTGTAGTGGAAAATCTATATTTGAGAATTGCTAGGTCGAAGGAAGAATTCAACGCAATCAACCATATCAATTTAATTACAAGCCGGCAACGAGAGAAACACTACATCGAGTCTTGCTCAAAAAGACATCAAAGAGAAAGACATTCACCAAGTGTCGGTAACAATCCTTATATTGGTTGTTTAAACCAGGCCATTTGTCAGGCAATAAAAACTCCTTCATTGTAACGTCCTGTAGGCCCTGCAACACTAAACCCACTATTAAGATATTCTCCTGGGCAATATAGCATCAGACCCTCCATGGGGTGGTTATCTTAAACATTATTCAAATCAAATCTTCATATTTAAGGTAAAGTTTGATATGAGAGTAATTCAGGCAAATGATGTACATCTTGCCAGAATTTGCAGCTATATTCGCAGTGCCAAAACAAGTGACTCAATGTGTCTAAATGCAATGATTGAAAGTAACACCACATTTAATAAAGTACTGTACTGTAGTCTTGAGGTAGTTGTACTTAATTATTTTAATTTTGTGCCACTTCATACAAAAAATCCAGTGTAGTCATAAAACTCTGTTGATCCTGGGTGGAAAATTCCTCAGATTCTGCATAGTATGTCATTTATATTGTAATTATTACATTCATAACCTCAAAATAGCATTTATGAAAGGTGCAACATTAAAGTGATGTACACAACTGTGCATTATTCATTTTAATCCGTAATTCATGCATAATGAGTACAAGTGACTTTTACTTGTACACTTTGACTTTTTACGGTGGTATTGCTACCTAAGTAAAAATCTGAATACTTCTTCCACCACTCTCTAAATGTGTACAACAAAAAGAGCAAATGGTGTCCTCAAAGTTATGTTTTGGAACATATACAATTGGAGCACACAATTAAAAAAACAGAAAAGGGTTATGTACTGTAGGTTTAATATAGAGTAACTTCAATCTAGGGCTTTTGGGGCCCCTGGGCCATTAGCCCTGTGTCCTTGTTGCCTTAGTTACAACCCTGGTTAAAAAAAAAAAAAGGTCTTATTGACCATGTTGTGTTTTAAAGATTTGTCTTATCACAGTCTTAAACCTGTGCGTGTTGGGTTGTCTTTGTGACAGTTTATATTTTTGAAGATAACTTTTATGATTCAATGTGAATGTGTATAATGGTAAAGAAGTAGCTGAAGTATAGCCCCGCCCCGATGGTGACGTCACGTCGTATTTCCTACCCGTCGCTCCCTCCTCTGGTAGCACAGTTAGCAGTCTCTAGCACGTTAGCGTCCAGCGGCTGTTGTTTGCAGTCAGTCATTCCTTCCGAGTGGTGGTGCGTTTGTAAGCATCCTCCTCCTCTCCTCTAGAAAAGCAGTGGACGGCGGGGTTGTTTTTTCGAAAGCCAGCTGATTCACCTCTCCGAGGCCGCTTACGATAAACAATTGTCCTCGCCATCACGACAGGAAGAAGCTCTGGGACATGGCCAGACCAGAACAAGTCCTGCTGTTAGAGCCACAACACGAACTGAAATTCAGAGGTAACGCTCAAGCAGAGGGCAGGGCCAGGGGCTAGGTAGCTAACCTACAAGCCATTTAATGATAGCCAGTGTGTCGATTTCTGCATTCTACAGTTAACGTTTGCTAATGTATTCCTATATGTTGTTGCTGTTATTAAATGAGCGGATATAAATAGCTGTAGTCTACACTGTGTGTACGATAGTGGCGCTGACAGGTGAAACAACACTATGTACGACGATGCTAACTAGCTAGCCAGGTTGCATTCAGTTAACCTAGCTAGCAAGTCAACATGCTAGCTGTCACTGCAGCGCCAGGGCATGTCCACCGTGTCATTTCCGAAATCCACTCATTTGCTCTCTGTCTTTTATCCTCTGATAACATGAAGCACTGTGATGCGGTGTAAATCTTGGCATGTACCTATCTCTTCCGTGTTGTTAACACTAGGCTGCCAATCGGTAACTATTCTAGCATATTCTACGATCATATCGTTGCTTGGCTTTGTTTCTGTGCTTATTTGACAATATCTTAAGCTAGCAAACTGATTGAGAACTTTATCGTTTGCTCTCACTCTGAACCTGAATTCCTTTCCAGCTTTTCTACATCCAGGAAACACAATAATTGTGTACCTACAGACTGAGCTGGTGATAATATCAATTTGCTGAGACAGTTTTTCCGTTGGATGTGATATTGCTGGATCAAGTGGTGGCCTAAGTTGGTGGGATCAGTCCATAGTGGGCTGTTCACTGATTGATTATGGCAGAGCTTTGAATACAAAGATAAGCCATGAGAAGATGTGTTCTCCCACTCAGATACTGTTGCAGAGCAGGAAACACAGTGAGACTGCTGGTTCAACATAAATTAACATAAGCAAGGTATAGCTGTCAAAGCATATTCTGGTTTGAAGTGAACAGGTGGTCTTTTGGGGTCAGGGTGATGGTGAGCTAAATGCTATGGTAGCAACAAGAATACATTATACCACAAAAACATTCAGCTAGTTAGTTTTCTATAGTGTTCAGTTTTTGTCTGCAGGTGGGGCGTGAATAATAAAAGCTTGCACAGTTTGCTGTTTGTTTTGGTTGGTTGTTTTTTTTACTCTTTAAATGTGTAATGTTTACAGACAGCTCTGTGGACTTCTTCAGAAAGACTACTCATATTCAACCCTGGCAAATTAGTGTGATTTGGCAAGCGAATTCCAGTTCCCAAACTACTTGATAAGTCTGTAAATTCACACCACATCCTCAAGTCAGTGTGCCATTCTCTCTGTGTCCTCCTCAGGCCCATTTACAGATGTCGTCACCGCCACTCTGAAGCTCACCAACCCCACAGATAGAAATGTATGTTTCAAAGTCAAGACAACTGCACCTCGCCGATACTGTGTGCGCCCAAACAGTGGTATCATTGATGCTGGAACCTCCATCAATGTTTCCGGTTTGTAAACGTTTCTGTATCCTCTTGCAGCATGGGTGATATACCTGGTCAAAGTTCAAATGCACAGTGTGGTTTTCACACATGATCAGATACTTGTATATTTGACTTTGTATAATGTCTAAATTCAGACTAGGTGTTTAGTGTCTCAGGGAAAAATCACTACAATTGTATATGTAATGTCTGAGTAAAAGGACACAGTTATTGATTGTTTCCCTCAGCAAGAGCTGAAATAATTTCAGAAAATATCATTTTACTTTAATGCAGCTTATAAATACGGAGAAGACAGTATTAAAACAATATCAAGCTAACATGATCATCAAAATCCTAAATTATATCGTCTCATGAATAAATTTGATATACTCCCAGTTTTAGAACAGTAAAAGCTGAACTACAAGCCAGCGTGCATTATGTTTCAACATCAAAATAAACCTCTTATTCGCAGTTCTACCAGCGATTGCACTGAAACAGCAGTTGGCAAACATCAGGATGCACATCTTTGCAAGTACTGGGAAAATATACCCCGCACAAGATGAAAATTTCCTGCATTATGATGTTATGATGTTTTGTTCCATGTTTCTGGAGAAAAAAGAGGAATTGCAAACGATAGAAATGAAGTTGTTAATACATTTAAGTCATTTAATTAAGCCAAAGTAATAGTCCTGCCTATCATGACACAGAGTTGCAGTTTTGTATTAAGACACAAATATTTTTTGATGGATATACAAGATGATTTCTAATGGAAGCCGCCTTAGCTCAGCAACATAACATAAATACCTAAAGGAATCCTGGAAGATGGAATCTAAATAAATAAATAAACAAACAAAACATAAACTCCGTAAAAGAAGAGTTTTGGGACCTTGAGTTTTTTTTTTTTTTTTTTTTTTTTTTAAATGCTGGATGTCAGCTAACATGAGTTGATATTCTTCACAGTGTGACGACTGGTGACGTTAGGTCACTAGCAAGTTTTCATTTTTAAATCAGTGTGGCTACTGGCTAGTTAGTTACCTCTAGCCTATTACTTAACCTCCTGATGATGAAAAACTCTCTTAGTTGGTGGAATAATGTTATCTGCAAAAGACATGACTCAACACGGATGAAGTTGTTATGTGTGCTGCGGACTCCAGGCAATAAAGGAAAGAGAATAAGTCATCTGAAAGACTACATTTTCATCCATGCTTTGAGGCTTAAGGGACTAGCAGCCCCGATAACATAGCTTACCGTTGTCAGCACACTGACCTCCAGCTATTACCGCCTCAGTGTCTAGGAGCAAATATGACATTTGCACATAACGTGAGCTTCCTGTTGCCTCCTCCCTTTCAGACAGTGCTAGCATGTCACCTTGTAGATGTAGCCTCATGAAGGGCACATTGGGATGATCTGATATGACTTCACTCCAAAGATGATGTGCACAGGTTTGCTGAAATATTTGTAGAGAGATTTCTGTCCTCTGAAAATATTGGTAGTGACATGTCTCTACCATCCATATGTAAAACTTCACCCTTGGTCCCACACTTATTGGAACCATCACTATCTTGGAAATGAAACCAATTTCTTAATAGCCATTATGACAAATTATTGTATCCTTCAGTCACTAAATGTTCCCTTAGGCAGACATATTTTTGTTTTTATGCAAATTTCCAGATTGGTTCCAGAGGAGTAAGTATATCATAATGCAACACAAATCTTAAACTTGACTGCTGTCTTTTCATTTGCATGTTGCATTATAGTTGTTTATCAGGTTATACAGGAAGTTAGACTTACCCTAATGTTATGGCTTACATTCTGTCATATGTTTCTCCACAGTTATGCTACAGCCTTTTGACTATGACCCCAATGAGAAGAGTAAACACAAATTCATGGTGCAGTCTATGCTGGCTCCATATGACATGACTGATATGGAAGGAGTTGTGAGTACTGGAGCAAAAATAGGATTTGGGATTATATTTTAAGCAAAGAATATTTCAGATCATTGAGTATATAATTATTGAAACATTTATACCTTAAACTACATGATAGTTGATTTTACTGAACCTGAGTTTGTCTTGATGATCCACACCTCAGACATCTGTCTTTCCAGAAACCTACAATACCTCCAACTCATCTCTTGAGTATTGCAGTTTACATTTGTGTTGTTGTACAGACACTAATCTGAAACATTTATAATACACTTGAAAATGTAATTATTTAGAAAATGGTTTTTTGAGCCATTTCCTTTTGAAGTAATGACTTATAACTACATCAAAGTTAATATAATGATCTGATGCTGAAGCAGCCTCATACAAACCTTCACTGTGTTTTCTTTGTCTCTTTTTCCCTCTTGATGTTCTGATTCACAGTGGAAGGAGGCGAAGCCTGAAGAGCTGATGGATTCAAAGCTGAGATGTACATTTGAGATGCCACTAGAAAATGACAAAACTGTAGGTCTTGTGTAACTTCAGATAGGCATTTATTGTGTCACATTGTCTCACTGCCTCCTCAGTTCTACACACTCAGAAATGTTGCATCTTGTAATTCACAGGTTAAAATTGCTCATTATAGCCCTTTTAGGCCCATTGGATATGATCTTAAAAGACTGAAACTTTCACATTACATGTTTTCTGGGAGTTCATTATTTTTGCTTTTGCTCAGCAAAAACAGCCTCCTACCATCAGCAACACATCACTCATTCACCCACTACATGCTTTGTTTATTCATTTATAATTTATTTGTTGGCGCTTTCATCTCACTCCCTCCCACGTGTCTGCACGTCTCTTCATCCCCTTCCTTCCTCTCCCTCTACCTCTCACCCCACCACCCTCCCTCTACCTCTCTCCACAGCATGAGAGTGAAAGCAACAAAATTGTGTCTTCCTCTGCCTCCTCTGTTAAGACTGAGCACTCGGTACTGCCCAAGTCAGCCAGTGCCTCGCTGGATGACGGAGAGGTGAAGAAGATCATGGAGGAGTGCAAGCGGCTGCAGATGGAGGTGCAGAGGCTACGGGAAGAAAACAAACAGATCAGGGTGAGATGCAGAAGAGACAGTTTGTTTTCTCTCAGGCTTGTATTTTCTTCAGGTGCTTTGTTGGACTTGTATGGAAAATCAGAACAAGTTATTGAATTTAACTCTTGAATGTATGGATCTATGGTTTGACAAAAGTTCTACAACATGTGAAATAAAATGACAGAGTAAATGATTTAGAAAAATAAAGCTTATCTTATTGAACTGGCTTGCTATTGTAAAACAACAGCCAACCATTTATTTTAGGTCCTCAAGATCATGTTAAGCTAACCAACTGCCCCAGGTTTCTAGATCGCCCCAATCACGGCTTGAATGGTAAATTTGTTGTTTTGTTTGTTGGTTAGCATGATTACGGACAAATGGCTGAATGGATCATCAGCATACTTGTTATAGACATTGATGGGGATCAAACCTAGAAGTGATTTGATTTTGGCTGAAAGGGATCAAAGGTCATGGTCACAAGAAATAATAAATAATAATAAAAGTCACAAAAATCCCTATCTCTAACCTGGGGCAAAATAAAAATAAAAAAATCAGATCTCAGACAAAAGTTATCAATCATTTGAAATTTAAAACATGTATGTAGGGTGGCAATGTCTATCACCAGACCAAATTTCATCTGTCTGAAATTTCATTCTGGATCTGATGCCCATTTAACTTTAACATTGAAAACCCCTTTTAACATTTGCCATTCTGACATAACTTGGCCTATAATGAAGATAGAACCCTGAAATATTCAGGTAAGATGTTCAGTATAACTGGCTATCAAAAGATGGTCCAGATCAAGGGTTTTTAGGACATATTTTATGTTGTTCTGGATCTCATTTTTCAAAAGAGACCCATTTGGGTGAACAAATGTTGCACCTTGGCGGAGGTACTTTCACTCTCTGGGTGCTCTTGTTCTCACCAGCATCATCACTGAGTGGGAAATTTTCTAGCTGAAAAGTAAACTGTGCTGTCTGGTGAGCAGAAATGCCAACAATGAGAGTTTCTGATTGACTTCATTTCTTGTTACGTGATCAATATATACACCAAAAACAGCATAGCTGTGATAATCTCAGATTTCCATCTCTGTGTGTCCTGAGCTGTTTTGACCATCTCTGATTCATCTCATTTCATTGCAGGAGGATGACGGGCTGCGGAAGAGAAAGGTGACATCAGGGGCCTCTCCTCACTCCTCCTCTGCCATGGCGACCTCAGCCATGAGGGATGAAGGCCTAAGCACCCGCGTCCTGGCATTCTGTGTGCTCTTCTTTGTCATTGGAGTCATCATTGGCAAGCTGGTCCTGTAGAGAGAGAGAGAGAGAGAGAGAGACAGACACAGCACAGTGACGGATGGCGTGCTCTGGAGGACACGTTAATGACGGCAACGGGGATCTCTTCTGGGTTTATGTTGATTTCACTTTTTTTTTTTTTTTTTTATAATTAAGGAAATATCATAATGGGTTGTCTGGATGGAAAGTAATTTAATGTGTAAAAAGAAAAGGCAAATCAAGAGTGTGAGTGGTTTTGTCACTGGACTTGGCTTTTGTTTTTTTGTGAAATAATCAACCTTTGCTCTGTTCTTTCCATCCAACCCTCCTTCCTAAATGATCTTCCCCAACTTGCACAGTTAACGGTTAGTGGTGTGTGGAAATGGCTTCATGCTGACTGAATGTCTAAAGTCTTTCATTGATTCTTCAAGTTCTTTGCCCACACTGTTTGTGAGAAGTATCTAACACGCTTCCTCTGATAAACCCGCCTCCACTTATCACTGATAATTTGCAAGAGAGGTGAACACAAATGGTTAGTGAAAGACTTTTTCTAGACTCTGTGTATTGTCTTCTAAACAGTGTGAGCCAGTACAAGCTGTGTGTATGTGTCTTGCTGTTGGAGCCTCCTGCAGGAGGGCTGAGGTGGCTGCATGTGGATGTTTTTATGTGAGGAGATCATAAATGACAAAGTCAAAAAGCTGTTTTAGAGTGAAGAAAGAGGGATGGTTAAAAAAAAAAAGTCATCTGAACAGACTTCCTGCACAACAGCCATGGAGGAGTTTGTTTGACCCGATTAAAACTTGTTGATTTCAGTTTGTGACTGGACCATTGAGTCTGTAGGAACTCAATCAATTTTAGGGTCACTTGTAAAATTATGACTCAGTAAAATCAAAATCATGGTACAGAGTTAAAAAAAAACAACTGTAATTTAGTGCAAGGCTTCAGATTTTTCCACTTAACACTTGATTAACTCCCTCAGGTTGAGAGTCAAAGATTGGCAGTAAACGTAAAAAGACCTAATCTCCCCCCGTAAAACAATAAACCAATTGTTACAGTCTGTAACAATAGACTTGGTCACCTTGTTTAATTTCACCTGTGCAGTATTGTATTTACATTGTCTGCTATGTTACAGCACTTGTTTGCTTTTCTCCCCCCTTATATTATGTAGTCACGATGCTTCTATTGTTTGTAATATTTAAATGCACTCTATTCATGTGCCCACTCTGCAATCTGCATGAAATGACCTGGATTTATTCTGATTATTATTGAATGTTGACATTAGCAAAACAAAAAAACTGTCTTTCCAAAAGGGACCATTGTCAGTCTAGTTTATCAGTTTATGCGTTTTGTTTTTAATCATTTTCTTTTGTTTCCTGTTGGGCTCCGGTGGTTGTAAGATAACTGAGACAACACAGCTGTATTATTTCAGTTACCACATGACCATATCAGCAAACTGGTTTGTTTAAAAAAAAGGAAAAAAAAAAAGTAAATATCTGTATCTTTCGTTGCCTGAGGGAGCTCGGGGAGCTGAGACATGGGAATGTGGGTGGCTGGGAGGAGGACTGACCTATGAATACACACTACGTTAAAGGAAAAAAGGTCTCATCACTTCAGACCACACATTGCAGAGGTAGTCACACAATGTAATCACAGTAATTGGATACTCTTTTGTATGTACATAAACATAAAAAGAATTCAAAACATATCTGGTAAAAGTTAACATACTGTAGTAAAGGAAGAATATTATTAAACAACCACCATGGATCATGTAGCATCATAATGAATTAAAAAACATAAACCCCCAACTGTTTGTTTCTGTGAAGACTTTTCTCATTTGACTTAGGTTGCAGTCTTTGAAAAGAGGTTGTGAATTTTGTATGTGTGTGGAGCTGCACAGTTTGATAGGATATAAAATATATATCAGGATTGCGTATCTAGTGAGCCACTTCCTTAATTTAGAGGGTATTTAGTACTGAATTACCAAAGAAGAAATTAAAGGAAACTGCTCACAATTGAAGATCTGTTTACTTTTCCTGGTCTTACTCAGTCTGTGGTATGGTTTCTGTGAGTCTGCAACAAGCTTGCCATTAAGCTTAGGGACTTTAGAATTATCTTCATACAAATTATATACCAAAAAAGCAACAAAGGTTAGAAAGATATGGCCATTTACAAGGGAGTGGTAGTCTAAAGAAAAGGCAATAATGATGCATTATGGGAATTGTAGGTTCCAGGCTTCTACTGCATCCAGCGATGGAGGAAGTAGTCAAACTTATTAAGTAAAAGTAACAATACACACTGTATGAATACTGAGTTGCAAGAACATGCAAATACAAAAGCATTTGCATCAAAATTTGCTTAAATTTCCAAAAGTAAAATTATTCATGTAGAATGGCACTTTTTGCATTAATGTATATCATATTACTGGATTATAATTACACATACTTAATTTGTGTAACATCTTAATGTTGCAGCCGGTAAAGGTGGAGCTTATTTTAACTACTTTATATAGGCCTACTTAGAATTTGAATTACTTCTGGGCAGCTTGTGAATTTCCCACAGGGAGCAATGAAATCTTATGGTTATACTATAGTTTGTTTTATTCACCTGATTCTGAAAAGGAACTGAAGTTACCAAATAAATGTAGTGGAGTAAAACATTTGCCTCTGAAATGTAGTGAAGTCGAAGCATCAGAAAATAGTATTTAGCCTACCTACTGTAGTTACTTTCTGCTGCAATTGCCCAATAGGCGGCGACAGAGACAAAGAGCAACGCCCACAGCTCATCGGGCAATCTGACGTCATTGGGCCTTATCCCGGAAGTAGAAAAATATCAACAATTCTTCTAGGTTCAGGCTTAGTCCCAAGTGTCAGTGTAGCCTAGGTGCAAGGTAGCCAAGTTTTATTTTTTTTTTGTATAGTTCGTGTATTATAGCGTCTCAGATATGTCGTTGTTTGGTAAGATATTTGGAGGAGGAGGAGGAAAAGGAGGAAAGGGACCGAGCCCACAGGAGGCGATCCAGAAACTCCGAGAGACGGAGGACATGCTAACCAAGAAACAGGAATTCTTAGAAAAAAAGATCGATCAGGAGCTGCAAATCGCCAAGAAAAATGGCACAAAAAATAAACGAGGTGAGGTGTCAGGTTGCGGTGTTGTTGTAGTTTCTACTGTTTATCATCAAAATTGCCTTATTGACAACCCAAAGCTAAGTCGGCTAACTTTCTCGTGCTGTCGTAACTGTTGGCAGCTTTACCTAACGTTGTTGCCAAGGCCACAGTTAATACACGAAGTAGGTAGATGTTGTTTATTGTGTGTCATATCATCTGCTAAGTGAAAATCGTTAAGTTGTTTTTTCATTAAGGCCTTAACAAAAGATAAGTCTTAGCCTTGTCTTTTGTTAACATATCTCTGTAGATCATCTTTTCGTGTGATTCATCAGTTAACTTACCGTAAAAACCCACTGCAGACAGGCAAGCCATAAAGATACCGTCAGATTGCGTCAGGACAAGGGTTGATATTGAAGCTTGAATGTTAAAAGGGTCCTGGTAACACTGTCCGAAAGGTGGGCGTGCTTGCACCATAATCAGAAGTCTGTTTTGACACCTACAGCAGCAGGCTAGATCATTTTATAAGCTAATGATTTGAGAAAATAAACACAGCGACACATAAACCTTGCATTTTATCACTCGTAATCATGGCAAAAATTGAACGAATATTAAAGTGACCATTAGATCATATTCTAACACACAACATGAAACAGCCATTATGATTAGCGCACATTGATCAACATCAGTGTAAATGTTATAGTGTTTGCCAGAAGGCTATTTTTTTCAAGTGTTGTCTCTTGTCTGTTTATGAAATTATCCACTAAAACAACACTAAAGCACACAGCATGCAAAATTAGATTAGGGAAAAGCAGGCAAAAACATAAACCAGCACAGCATCATAAAAATCTTAAATGAGTAAAGCAGGCATCATGCAATGCAGGCAAAAGCAAAAGCAGCTACTTTTCATTACAAACTACATAAGTAAAACCAAAGGAGACACAACATGTAGACAAGCATTGTGTTGCATTTAAATGGGCTGCACTTATATAGCACGGATAGCACTTTATCATACTTGCCCATTCACATGCATTCCTCCTCAGAGGAAGACGTAGGTACACAGTTATGTTCACAGCAAAGTGTCCATTAATTTTTATATTGTTATTATTCTTGGGCAAATATTATTCTTGGGCAAATGGGCATTTTGGTATGATTCTGCTGCTGTATTAACATTTTGGCGGTCTCCAGAAATAGTAGGAGAAATCCCCTGGGACTGTGAAGATCCATAGTGTTTACTGTTGTTAGGTAATTTCTTACTCAGGTAGATATTGATTAGATACTTGTTGTATAGGAATGTTTAGTGTAGCCAGGATGTCTAGCTCAGGCTGTTAAATGCTCAGTTCATTGTCAGGAGTTCTGCAGGCTGCATCTAGGCCAAGGTCAACTAGATTGAAGAGTCTGCAGGCAGGATGAATATTGCTAGTAGCATGATATGTTCAGCCGACGTTCCTGTGTAGCATGGGCTAGCCCAACCAAGGGATAAAATTGTATAGGCATGAGGGTTCAGGGTCTTTTATCCTCCATGCTGCCTGCACGCAGGTTTGGGGGTGGAAGATGCCTGTACGTGTAATGTTAATTTTACCTGTGATTCTTTGAATAAACCAGCACGGTTATTTTTTATATATCCAAGTGGTCCGCCTCGTCTCTCTGAGTTCCTGGTTAGAAGAACTGGGTAATATCTTACACTGTGGAAGTCTGAGTTGTTATTCTGAAGACACCTCATCATGTACGGAAGTGCTAATTAAGGGCAAAACTTTGACCTGATGCTGATGCAAGACTCTACGTTTCTAAATTTCAAATTATATGCCCATTTGGCTGATAGTTATTTATATATGTTGCTCTCAAACTAGGTGTTGGGTAGAGAGAAAAACTGATGGACAGACTGAACAGTGAGTTGAGTAATCTCACACAAATGGAGTACAAAATATAATCATTATTATAATAACTGAATATAAACCAAACTCTCCCTGGCCCACCTAATACATTAGGTTACTCATTGAGTGAATAATCCCTGGAGGTTGATACAGAAATTGCAGACACCTTGATGTTACAGATTTCACTGAATCACCAAATTACATTTCTATGCAGTAAATCTATCTTGTATCCCTCCTGACTTATTCTCCTCTCATCTTCTCCGTCTTTCTCTCCACAGCCGCTCTGCAGGCTTTGAAACGAAAGAAGCGATATGAGAAGCAGCTCGCTCAGATCGATGGCACGCTCTCCACCATTGAGTTTCAGAGAGAGGCTCTGGAGAACGCCAACACCAACACTGAAGTGCTCAAAAACATGGGCTTCGCGGCCAAGGCCATGAAGTCTGCCCATGAAAACATGTAAGAGCAGTCACTTGTTAGGTTTGTCACAATGTGACCGATTGATCGATCAGACTGAAGTGAAGCATACTACAAAGCTAAAAAAGAAGTCCTTTTTGTTGTTGTTTCAGGGACATTGACAAGGTGGATGACCTGATGCAGGACATTACAGAGCAGCAGGAGCTGGCACAGGAAATATCTGATGCCATCTCTAAACCTGTCGGCTTTGGAGAAGAGTTTGATGAGGTTGGTGCCATACTTATACATTTGATTTTTACATTCATGAGGTTTATTTTGTTTTTGCTCCCAAATGCAGTTTGTGAATCTGAACGGATTCCTGCAACAATTATCTTTACATTTTTGGCATTACATGAATTAGTTTGTGTTTGTCCTCATTTTTTATATGGACTGCTTTCTTTCTCAGGATGAGTTGCTGGCGGAGCTGGATGAGCTGGAACAGGAGGAGCTGGACAAAAACCTGCTGGAGATTGGAGGACCAGAGAACGTCCCCCTCCCCAATGTGCCTTCTACTTCATTACCTTCCAGACCTGGTAACAAATCTTTGAAGAATTCTGCGTTTCTGTGAGCATGACTGATAGAAAAACATAGCATGGTTTTACATTTAGTGTAAAGTGAGAAAACTGAGACATTTTTCATACCTCTCCATTTAAATAGGAGGCTAGTTAACAGAATAATCTCATAAAATTGAACTGTCTCTACAGTCATTGTGCTTTTACGGTAATTGCAGTTATTTATAATAGAAACACTGTATTACTAATTAATCAGTATCAGCAAGTACTCCAATGCAAGTACTTGTACTTGGCCTGAAAAAAAGAGTATCAGTGCATCCTTAGTTAACAGTCAGTTAGCATAGCTTAGCGTACAGACCTGAAACAGAGGAAAACAGACTTTTTTCAAAGGTAAAAAGAAAATCCACCTATTTTATTAAATATTTCTTATTTCATCAATACACAACAAAAAGGAGTTTTGTGCTAGACTATTTCTTGGTGGTAACCAGTAACTTCCATTGGTTGCCTGGTGATTCGTCCTTGCTAAATAATAGTCCATTAGCCTCACATAAAACATCAAATTATTATTTTTACATTTCGTTTTTTCTACAGATTAAGGAAATCTGATATTATATGTTATTTAATGAGTTTTAAAGATGCTGGTAGACTGATTTTTTTTACCTTTACACAGTCAGGCTAACCTTTTCCTGTTTTTATGCTAAGCTACTGTAGCCTAACTGGTTACTAACTATAGGTTCATGTTTACAGACAGAGCCAAATTATTTTTTGTGTATTCTCAGCTAGTCAAGTCTGCAGAGAGGAAAACAAAAGGTCCAGCAACACTTGCAGTGTTCAGAGCAACTTTAATGTAAACCAACACGTTGTCTTTGCTGAAACATGTTGGTCTTTACATAAAAATTGCTACAAACACTGCAAGTATTGCCAGACCTTTTGTTTTCTCCCGTGTTTGTGCACCTTGACAGTGGGTGAAGTTGCGCCATACATTTTTACTGTATCTTAAGCCTGCAGAGAGGCATGGGAGTCAGATGAAGTTAGTTAAACATAACTAGTATAACTTCACCTCTGACATTTCTCTGTTTCTTCTTTTCCCTGCCTTTTCACCCCTAAAGCCAAGAAAGAGGAGGACGAGGATGACATGGAGGACCTGCAGCGTTGGGCGATGGAAGCCAATTAAACATCAGCATCTGTCACCTCATACCTGCATCAGAGAGGAAAGAGGAATGATCAAGGGGAACTAAATGGACTGATAGGATGTTGTGTTATGAGTGTTTTGTGTGTTTGAGGAGAGCTGACTGTCTTCTTTATGTAACACTACAAAAAAAGCAACAATGCTGTATTTTTCTTTTCCGTTCCCCATCACTGCATAAATGTAGAAGCCTCTTGATACACAGCATAAACAAACATTTTGAAGCTCTATCACTGTACCTGGACGTAGTCACAGAATTATTTTCCCCTGGTTTTAATACAAACTCTAGCACTTCATGGCCCTTGTACTGGGCTGTTTCAGCAGCTGCCAAGCTCATGATGAAGTGTAATATTATGAGTTATGTGGTGCAATGAGCTGCTGTCAGATTAGTGTCATGGGCTGCCATTGTGGACATCAGTGGATGACTGAGGAATTTTCCTGGGAGCTAACACTATTTCTGACTCACATATTTACTTGCATTTGTGCATTGTTTTCTTCCTTTTTTGACAAAAAAAAGCCCCTAGCTCCCTGTCTTTTATTACCAGCTCGTGAAAAAAGGAGAACAGCTGAGCATACGCTGGGTGAAGAAGCTTTGGCGTGTGTGTTGCTAGAATCTGAACTTTTTTTTGTTTCAGGTTGCGTGCTTTGTTTACAACCCCTGTTCAGCTCCTCCCTCACAGGCGTTCTCACAGTGGTTCCTGTTATTTGGTGTAAATTTTCCAAGTGTGTCTCTTTTTATATACTGTAGTTTTGTCATCACTGAGAGGGTCTGAAGTTGTGTGAAGCATGCAACAATGGGAAATGACAATACAGATCACAAGGCACGACTAGAAAGAGAGATGTTTAACATAAAACATTTCATCCTTCTCTCTCTGTCTTGGTCCTTTTATTGTTTCAAGTTGTATAATGTTAAAATAATAATAAATATAATAAACTATTGTCACATTAATTACATTCAGAAGACCATAGTGGTTTTTAAGGATTACATTATAGTCAATCTACACATCAATGTTTTGATGTTTAAAGTTAATTCATTTAGATTTTCAAAGTCATGTACATTTTTATACATAAAACATAACACAAGGACAGTTGGACAGGCCTTTCATTTCTGTGTTTTATTTATCCAGATGAGAGTATTGTTTGCAAAATCATTAAAGGTTTTTAATTCTCTTACTGTGATGGAAGCCTTATCTTTTCACGTTGTCGTTGTATGATATGACTACATTCAGTATTACAGTGCATCACCTGTAGCCATGCGGGAAAACTGTGCTTTAGAATATAATGAGGTTTAGATGCACAGCTCTAATTTGTACCTTTGACCTGTCAGATCGTCACTGGTTCCAGGGAAGCTTCAGAACAGTTTATTCTGTTTTAGTTTTTTTTTACTACTGAAGGCACTGCTCAAATTAGAGCTGCAATAATTATTTTCATTATCCAATAATCTTGATTGTTTTGTCATTTATAAAATGTCATAACACAGTGCTTTTTGCTAATTGCTGATTTTCAAGAGCCCTAGGTCAAGTTAGAGCAAAACATTGAGCATTTTAGCTTGAAAACTGACTTAAATTAATAACTGAAATGCAAATGATAGCTAATTACTTAATCATCTGATTGATTAATAGGCCAATAATTTCAGTTCAACACAAAGACAAAGATGGAGGACACTGCCTATGTTTTAAGCAACAAGTAAATATGTTTAAATAACCCTAAAATTAGAAAATAATTTATAGCAGACAACAGTAAATGTATTTGTCCTGCTGGTGATGTCGACTGTTGCTGGTCTTAGATTCAGGTTTATGGTCCAGACGTTTTTCTTCATGCCTCTCAGATATTTAAGTAGTTTATATATTTTACATCCAGCTGTTTTTCTTTTAGCAAGTGAAATGTACTTTTCATGGTAACTGCTGAAAGTTAACCCAAAACCTGTGAGACTCTTATTTAGTGTACCTGTACACCTGTACATACTAACAGGTGAGTTGACAGTTCAGTTCAGGTTTGTTTAGAATGTTGGGGCTGGGGTGTGGTAATGTATGGCCAGGTGTATGGTTTTCGGACCAACACCTACAGCTCCAAAACAAATGTGGGTCCTATTTCCCGACTGCCCTTGTTATCAAATAATAGGACAGCATTAATTTTGGTTGAAGTTGGTTTTTACTTAACAGAAGGGTTTAAATAACAATAGTCAGTCCCTTTTTTTATATGTCGAACAAAAATAAAACAACAGTAGTGGACTTATTCCTAACAGCACAAAATAGACACAACTGAATATACACTCAAAATTATCCGGGCACAATCTGGTACAACTATATCAACAGATAACTTTCCAGATACAATATATTCAGCCTTCACATTAAAAGCAACTCAAACTCACTTCAAGATGCCGGAATTCCTGTTCAGGCTGGAGTAAATACCCCGAACTCGTAGACAGTGTTGTCTCCCCTCTGAACAATTAAAAAAAAAATTATGCAGTGGCCCTAATTAAAAAAAAATTTATGCAGTGGCCCTAATACTCTTCCGTAGAACTGCAACCTGTAACCCATACAGACTTCATATAATTTCTGTCAGACACGTAGGCCGTCACGGAGCTTTGTATTTCCCTGCGTTTCTCTCTTTTTCTCCTTCTCGGTCTCTGATTCTCTTTTTTTTCCCCGCTTTTCTCTCTTTTTCTCCTTCTCGGTCTCTGTTTCTCTTTTTTTTCCCCGCGGGACACTCGCCTCAAACACAGTGATGACGTTACAACAGATGCGCCCTCATACTGCATGTATACAACTATCATAGCGACACCCACTGGGCACTTACTAAACAACACCTTACTGGACCAGGGAGAGTTTCAGTTACTCCCCTTAGGAAACTGTAATTTTATTACTTGACCCGGCTACAAGAATATGACTTGGGGTTTAAATAATGTTTATTAGAAAACATTCTATAACATCAGGAGGGAATATTCAGCAAACATAAAATATTAGAAATAAACAGTTAGTTTGTCTATTAACTTTTCGAGTCGTGGTAGGTCTATCGGACCTTTACAAACCTAAAATACACACATTTAGCGACAGTTTATTTAGACTGTGTGATGTTGTTCTTGAACACCCCCAGCTCCGTCGCGAAGTAATTACGTCAGGAGTTGGTGTCTTGACGCTTGCGTACTGTGGAACCAACGCTGATGCAAGAAATTTTCGGCGCAGCAGTGAGATCGACTGATTAAAAAGTATATAGATATTTGTAATTCTTGAGCTCGCAACCATGTCAGGAGACGAGGTGAGTCGCTCACCGTTTACTTTGTGTTGGTGTGTAGAGTTGTTGGGTGAACTGAAGTGAATTACTGAATCAAACGTGTTGGGGATGACTGTGGGCCTCGGCACTACTACTCCCCTGTTCGCAGCAGCTCTCACATGGCTGCAGCCGAGCTAACGACGGCCCGTCCAGCTCATCTGACCAAAATGTTTAATACACCACTGTTTTATGGTTTGTCACATAGTATAAATGATTAATCCTCACTGTGCCTTATCGGTCGGAGATGTCAGAGCTGCTGGATAACACAAATTGAAGGATGAAGTTAATTAGCTAGTGTTAGCCGTTAACTAAACAGGGGCGCTAACGGTTAACATTCAACATGAAACAAAAGATACAGATGTTTAGCTCTGGTTATTCCAGAACGTTGGATTTACACCGAGCTACAGATGTGACAAACAACTATACGACTTGTTACTCTTATCAAGATTAAATATAACATATTTTTGTTTATTTCTAACCATATTCAGACTCTAAATCATTTTAATGCTATGACAGTAATCTCACAATGTCCGCTGGTGTTTAAATGGTTTCTCGTGATTTTGTTAACCATGGATATACGATGACAAACAAACAAGGGCATCATAGGCCATGTCAGAGTATTATCCATCCATCCATCCATTTTCCTCCGCTTATCCGGGACCGGGTCACGGGGGCAGCAGTCTAAGCAAAGATGCCCAGACTTCCCTCTCTCCAGACACTTCCTCCAGCTCCTCCGGGGGAATGCC